CTCTGATCATTATACTAGGGGCTACATCTTGTCAGTTTGTCCCATTACTGATGATGTTGACTGATAATTGATTTAGCTGATGTCTCATGGATTTCTCCATTGTAAAAGGTGACTTTCCTACCATTTGTCATTACTAAGTAGTCTGTTCAAAGAAACTTTGAAATTGTGTAAATATTCTGCCTAAGCAAACTTCTCTACTCAGTGGATTTAGCATCCATCAATAATTTATTAATTTAAAATCTTTCCCTGAATTTGGAGAAACAGCTATCAGGCTGCTAATATCCCTTCTCACTTTGTTTGAAATACAAAGATAATCATCATACATCCTTGCAGTTAGGTGTGGCTAGATACAGTTAGGTGAGTTCAGTTAGAAACAATTCAACTAAGCTGTTTCTGCCAAGTCATACCTGATTGTTTCATTGAATGGCTGAACTCCTTGGAGGTACAAACAGGAAAGAGCTCTATTCTTTCCAACCACTGCCTTCCTTCATGTTCTGTCAGATCTTTTCCCCCTCTCCTTTTCCTTCAGCCCCCAGAAAGTTCTTTAACTTTCTAGTCACTTCCAGTTATAAGAACTGCATCATTTCATGAAATAAGCCTTACTTTCAGATATTTAAAAAAAAAAGAGCTAGAATTCAGAACCTCAGTGTTGCATCAAATTCCCTTTTTGTCCCTTCTGCATAGCTCATTCCTGCCTCATGGCTTAGGACGTGCATTTTGAAGGGAATGGCATAATTTATTACTCTTCTTTCTCCTCCACTACTCTGACTTCTCAAGGTCAGGGCAGGAATAAGTCGGGATTAAGGGGAAGGGATAAAATGCAGTCTTGTAAAATCTTGGCTGTTGGAGAATGGAGCCCTCTATGTCACACATGTGCAAGTGCTGTTCTTCACCAAGGCCTGCTTGCATGTTCTTTAGAAACTCTGTAGAGACCTCTGTCCGTTGCGGTTCCCTGGCAAAGATGCTATGATATCTACAGCTAGACCCTAGAGACCCACCCCAAGCTCCGATCCCATACTTCATGTTCTTTTTTGCTTGGTTCTCTACCCTTCATACTGTCTTTATGTGCAGGACACCTTCAGAATAGTTCAAACCAGACTATCCTTTGAATACACACACATTCACGGCCCACGGGAAACTCATTCTTGCTTTGCCAAGCATTGGGAGTATAAACCACACCACTGCTCCATGCCACGGTGGGCTTTCAGAATTCCCCAGGAGGAATCATTTCACATGGGATAAGAAGAAGAAAATGAGGCATTCCCCCTGAACCTATGACTCATTACCTCAGTGACTCCCTTTTTGAGTGTAAATAAGATAGAGGTGGAGAGAGAGAGATTGTCCCAGGATCAAGCTGGCCACTTTTTGGTAAACTCTGAAAGAAGAGACCACAGATCCTTGGTATTTTAGGACCGGTTCTGGACCTAAGAGAAATTGTGAGACTGCAAGAAAAGTCTCATTTAGCATTCTGTTCATAAATATGAAGAGGACAATTAAAGTAACTTCTAATTACAGAATTGCAATCATATTGTTCATATAAAATTTGCATACTTTTTCCCTACTTAACAACATCGATCTTTCCTCAGACTCTCAAGCTTGTCACTCACACCCTCTTTTAATTATTATTTTCCCAGCCTGGAACACTACATCCTGGATCTTCACATGCTTGAATTTTGCTATGGGTTGTATTTTAGCACTTAAATTCTTATTTCTTATTTAACTTCTCCCCTATCTTCATGTTCAAGAATATGTCTCATAAGAACAGAGAGCTTGTCTGTCTTTTGCACTCCTATAGACCCACCATCTAAAATAGGGTCTAAAACATAGTAGATACCCAATAAATATTTGATGAATGAATGAATGAACATTATATCATGAGCTTTTTCTCACAAGTCATTACTTTAAAAAAATTTTTTTTGTAAATAGTAATCCTACAACTCAACAATCAAAAAGCAACCTCATTCAAAAATGGGCCAAAATCTTGAGTAGACATTTCTCCAGAGAAGGTATACAAATGGCCAGTAAGCACATGAAAAGATACTAAACATCTCTAATCATGAGGGAAATGCAAATCAAAACATCAGTGATATACTACCTCATACCCATTTAGGTTTTTTGGTTGTTGAGTTGTAATGAGGAGTCATTACAAAATACGTAATGACTTGTAAATCAAATTGATAGAGACAGAAAGCAAAGTAATGGTTACTAAGGCCTCAGGGAGGGCATAATGGGGAGCTGGTGTTTAATGGGCACAGAGTTTCATATTAAGATGATGAAAAGGTTCTGGAGATGGATAGCGGTAACTTGCACAACAATGTGAAGGTACTTAATGCCACTGATCACACATTTAAACATGGTTAAAAAGATAAATTGTATGTGTATTTTACCATGATAAGAAAAATTAAAAGTCATATTAGCTCCTTAATATTCTAGCATATAAGTATACTATGGTATATTTAACCATTGCTGTTATTGCCCATTTAGATGGTTTCAATGGTTATTTTTGTACAAGAGGTGATAAAGTGTATATACACATCCTCAGATGTAAAGTTATTAGATCAAAGGATATATATCTAAATATTTCCATTTCTTAATTTCTCAGTGCCAAACTAATTTCCAGAAAGATGTACTATTTTATCTTTCAACAGACCTTTATTTTTAGGAAAGATTCAAATCTGAATTTTTATATAGAAATATTTTTGTATATCCATACATCAGATCAACTTGCACTTCTTCATATAATATAGGGGTATTTTACTTCTCTTTAAATCATTCACATTTATGTAGTATCTAGCTTTTTTTATGCCTCAGAATCAACATAAAAAGAAGTTCTGATAAAGTATGGGAAGTTTGCCTAATTTCTGATATACAGTATTGTGCTGCTACATTTTATCAGGTGTTGTGAATGGGGGAGTCTCATGGGGAAGGAGGCAGTTACTCTAGCATTGTATTAACTTGATTTAATTTTCTTTATAGATTATAAAATCCTAAAATAGAGAAGATTGTTAATCCAGGGGTATAAGCCACCTTATGAATCACACTTTCTCTTTAGCATAGACATCTTAAGATCAGTTAACAAATAAAATGTACCTTTGTTGATGGTTTTCTCATTATCTGAAGAGCTGCTAAAATTTAGAATTTTGTCTACAAATCACAAAAATCAAATTCTAAAAAATCACATTACTTAGCTGCTTATTAGCACATAAGCCTAAGGTTGTAGTCCAACCATCCTGTTCTAATTTCTCTGATCCAGGAAGATAAAGGGGCTTAAATATTTAGCAGTGTAAATTTTTTTTCCCTTGACTGTTCACTAGAGAATGGGATTGTAAATAAAATTCACTTATAAACTAAAAACATTTCACCAATAATTCAGATTCCCTCAACATGTATGAGGTAGCAGTGGGGGCAATATGTGTGCCTATACATATTTTTTTCAAGCAGCACATTCCCATGTATGGTTTCACTCTAGAGCTTCACCAAAAAATAGTGCTCTTCTAAAATTATGTTCACATATATTGAGCCAAGTCCTAGTATGTATTTATTTGGGGAGCTTAAAATTGCCTTAGAAATTTTATCATACTGCCTTTGATGAATAATTCTAGAAACCTTAGAAATCACACGTTTTCAAATGTGAAAAGCCATCATAGCATCTTGAAGATCTCTAATTTACTTTCTAAATGCTTTCTAGAGTGGTCTGGGATAATTACCCTCAAGGCTGACCAGAAAATGGGGGGCTGGAGTGTGGGGAAGGGAGTCCTGTTGTACATATGATCTCATTTATGAATGAGACCCTTATTATTGTACTTGAATTTAAAGTCCTTTTTGTTCTTATATGAGTTCTTTTGATATGCTTATTATAAATAGTCAAAATACTGCCAGCTTTTGGTCTGGGTTACTTTGTTTTTAATTACATGTGCTTAATGATTTTGTCATATATCCTGCATCTATAAATATTTGTTCAGTAAAAATACTTTTTTATATTTGATCCAGCCAAACTCAAATTAAGGCTAACCTTAAAAAATAACACACACACAAATACACAAATTATTTCTCTCTTTCCAAGCTAGTGTTAACAAGTTGGCATAGACACCTAACTCTACATTTTTACAACAGTCTGAAAGGCGCTAATAGTCCATTCCCAGCATGGCCCAAGTTGCAAAGGAGTTATATATCTCTTTAAGTATTCAGAGCTTTAAAATACCAGACAAAAGGATCCTCTAAATTTTGTTCACTCTCATTCTCTCAGAAAGAATATGTTAGATCAGAGTAGAGGAAGGAGGTGGCTAGATCCATCACTGAGGTGCAAAATAGAACAGTTAACATTTCTCAATAAGCAGGAGGCAAAAAGAAAGGTTTGGTATTAGGGCAAGAAAAAGGATAGGTAATTTATGGGTAAAACTACATTTCAGAAAATCGATCAACCACCTAAAAATAGAACTTTGCTGCATGTGTTGCTACTCAATTAGGAAATGTTAAAGTGTAAAGAAAGGATATAATTGATACTCCTTAAGTAGAAATGGGAGTGCTGGTCAGCTGGAAAAGATGCGCACAGCATACTTCATACTATTAGGACTCACCATAATTAAGAATTTAAATGTAGGGCTCTGCTTCTAGATAAGTATATTTGAGTTTCAAACTGACTTTATAAAGCACATATTTTGGTTACAAATTGTATACTGGGGATTGCCTCTTTAAACATTCCTATAGATTGCCTCCACAAACATTTATTCAATAACCATATAGTAAATATTTTAGGCTTTGCAGGCCATCTAGTCTCTGTCACAACTACTCCATCACTGTAAAAAAAATGAAACTGTAGATGGTAAAACAAATGAGCATAGCTATGACCCAATAAAACTTTACCTACAAAGATAGGAAGCAGGCCAGATTTTGCCACCCCTTCACTAAATGGAAAAATCTTAAGCTACTCTTGCATTTGTCTTATTTTTTTAATACCCTGCATTCTCTCTGTACAAATTCTTAACATTATTTTTATTTAGTTACTTCACGGAAACCAAGGGAAGATGAGAAAGATGGCCAGGCATATAAATTTGTGTCACGATCTGAGATGGAAGCAGATATTAAAGCTGGAAAGTATTTGGAACATGGGGAATATGAAGGAAATCTTTATGGAACCAAGATTGATTCTATTCTTGAAGTTGTCCAAACTGGACGAACTTGTATTTTGGATGTCAACCCTCAAGTAAGTGCATGTATTCTGAAACTTTTTTTTTTTTTTTATTTCTTACAGAGGTTTTGTTTTTTTTTCAGATTGTGAAGGTGAACTTTCTTTCCTTCTACTACCTGTTGGTTGGTGATAGGCAATCTTATTATGTATCCACAGCTAGTTAAATAAATTTCTGCTCAGTAGCCAACAGAGGCTTGGATAGCAGCAGAAACTTAATAGAAGTTTAATATTTATTTACTTGCTCAAGTAATAAATGCATGCCTTAGGAGATGTTGAATTTAAAATTTAAGGCTGCAACATAAAGAATAAAACTGAAGTCATACCCTTTCCACTTCCCCCAACACTCAAAAATTCATTTCATTCCCATTCCATGTCTCTCTCACACCCCACCACACTCAACCCAACTTCACTTCTGTATTCAGAGATAAATATTAATACTTTGATGGGTATCTTTCTGTCATTTTAGTATGCCTTAAATACAAATATATAAATATTCTATACAGGTTCTTCAGCTTTTCTCATTAAACTGTATTTCTTGAAGATCTTCTCATAGCAGTTAGCATAAAGCTTTTGTTGTTCCTTGTAATTGCTGCATAGTATTTCAAGTATGGAGATATGTACACACATCTGTATATTAATATTGAAAAAGCAAAAAATTCTCAGTGTCTATTAATTGGAGAGATTATATAAATAATCTAGTATTTAGTACAGATTAAAGGGTAACAATTCCAATCCTAATCCTATATAAATTGCTTTGTAATTGTTCTTCTACACAGGCTCTGAAAGTACTAAGAACATCTGAGTTCATGCCCTACGTTGTGTTTATTGCTGCTCCAGAACTGGACACGTTACGTGCCATGCACAAGGCTGTGGTGGATGCTGGTATCACTACCAAGCTTTTGACGGTGAGCAATTCTTTTCAAGCTAACAATATTATTTTTCTCCTAAATTTTTATAATCTTTTGGGCATGTTTAACTCTATCTAACCATACTTATGAAATAAACATACTGTATAAAATATAGAATAAAAATTTGTTCAGTAGGTAATAGTTAGAATTTGGAACAGTATTGCTTTTACTTAGAAATCATGGTTCACTTAATTTTAAAACGGAAGTGACTCTCCCATCTGCAAATGAAATGGATCAGTATTAAAAATGCTTATTAACCCAACTCCCTCATTTTACTGATAAGGAAACTGGGCCTCAAGACCATTAGCAAGTAGAGTTAGGTATTCTGACTTATAGTTTCTGTTACATATTTTCTCTTGCTCTCCCTCTCTCTTCTCATATTATGGAAAATTTAAAATATATACAAAAGAGGGAAAAAAATGAACTCCCATGGGCCCATTACCTAGCTTCAATAACACATGGCCATTTTTGTTTCAGTTTGACCCCTCCTTACCTGTTCCCTTACCTGGGATTATTTTGAAGCAGATCTGTGATTATCAACTGTAAATACCTTAGTATTTATTTCTAAGATAGACTTTTTAAATATAACCCTAATATCATTAACACATAAAAAACTAATAAAGCCTTTTTAATATCATAAACATGCCTATAATTGAATTTCTCTGAGATTTATATATATTCTTTACAGTTGATTTTTTTCAAATCAGGATCCAAACAAGATCAACACATTGCACCTACTTGATGTCTTCCAAATCTCCTTTTTTCCCCCAGCTTGAGATGTATTCGACATACATTAAACTGTACATATTGAAAGTATGCAGCTTGATAAGTTGGGGCATGTGTATACACCCACAAAGCCATTCTCAATCAAGGCAATGCCCATGTCCCTCACCTTCAAAAGTGTCTTTGTGCCCTCCCACCAGAGTCCCACCCTCCTCCATCTACCGCCCCCACAGAGCCCCACCCTCCTTCATACCCCTACACACACACTGTAGCTGATAAGCCTTGAAATCAGGTAGTGTTAGTCCTCTTTTTTCTTTTTCAGGTTACTCTGTGTATCTACTTAACTTTCTGAATATCTGAAGTGTAGTTATAATAAGTGTTCTTGTGTCAAGGTGTACTAATTCAAACATTTGTATCAGTACTGGATCAGTTTTGGTTGAATGACTTTTCTCTTCATTATGGCCTTATTTTCCTGCTTCTATGCAATCCTGGTTTTTATTGGATGCCAGACAGTGTAAGCTTTGTTCTGGGATGCAGTTATTTGGAAATAGTCTGTTCCTTTCAGGTCTTGCTTTTACAATTTGTTAGGTAAGACCAGAGCAATTCTCATTCTAATGGCAGTTATTCACCACTGAGGCAAGATCACTTGAGCACCTTCCCAGCCTGTGCACCATGAGGTTTGTCTGTTTTAGGCGGGAATAGATCTCTTTGTGGCTCAGAATGAATACCTCTCATCCTTCTGGTGGTTTTTTGTGGCCTGCACTGTTTAATACTCAGCTGAATTCTGGAAAGGGACCTTTTACAAGTCTCTGAAGTTCTCTCTGTGTGCTGCCGTTCCATTCCAGTATTCTGTCCTTCAAACTTCTGCCATCTCGGTCTCTCTGGACTCTCACATCTGTCCCGATTTAAAGAGTCCGGTAGGTTCCTCCAGGGCTCTGTCTCCCTATGCTGGAGCCCGAAAACTCTTTCAAGCCAGGGTGATCATAGGGTGCACTTTGTTTCCTGTCTCTCTGGTATCTTAGTCTTTCCTTGCCTAATGTACAATGTCAGAAAAACTCTTCTTCTATCTACACTTTCTAATTGTCAGGCAAGAGGGTTATTCTGATACCTGTTATTTCATTGTAGCTGGAAGCAGACATCCCTTTAGTCTGTTTTCATCTGTAAATTCTCACTGCCTCCCTCCCTCCCTTTTCTTTTAACCTTCTAATATAGTTGGTCAAATAAGTGAGTCATTCATCCTGTAGAGTGCTCCATACTCTGGATTTTACCAGTTCTGTCCTCAGTGTGTCATTTTCCTCTATTCCTTGTATTTCCTGTGAACTGATACAGACTCGATCAGATATAGACTCAATTCTTTTTTTCAAGAGTAATTGATAAGCGGTAATTCTTGTTTTGTCACCTTATGAGGCAATATGGAAGGCTGTCTCTCTCTTTGTAATAAGATTAATCACTGGGTTCAGATGTTAGCCTGATCTGTAAAATTCCAGTAGCTTTTTACCAATGTTTTTAGCAAGTCTTTGCCTGGATCAGTCATTTTTTTAAGGATTGTAAAGTAATATTTTAAGTTTTTTGTTCTTTGTTGGTAAGAGCCTCCAGAGGCAACAGGTGACAAAATGTTTTCTTCTTTTTTAATTCTGTCATGAGCACATGGGTTTAAATTTATTTGATGTCTTTCACTCTGTTGCAATTATTATTCTTATTGATGCTCAAGTTGTCCCATCTTTGACCAACAGAAGTTTATTCAGGTTGGCCCCGGAGACCTTATTTCATGAGTCTAACAGTCTCTTTAATACCTTCCTTGCCATATCTGGAATGGCGAACGTTCTAGACTTCTCTGTACATTTCCTATTCTGTGCCAGAAATCAGCTATTTTTCCAAGAAGCTCTGGTTCCTTCTATGATAATGGTATTTTAAGACCATAATATTATGAGTGCACATTGTTGCAAGATTGATCATCACTTCTAGCTGCACCTTTATAGATAGATTGGGCTAGGATGTTTTTCTGTTTGTATGGTTAAAGGAAACTGTATCATGAATTCATGCTGATACTTCCCAATCAAATTCAGGACTATAGGGTTTTTATTTAATCTCTTGTCTTGTATGTATAACTTCATTCTCCTACACTGAATCTCCCAGTTTGAGAAAACCCTGGAAATGTTAGAATTAGGATATCACATAATTGCTCATTTGCTTTGTCCCACAGTGCCCACAACAGCCTGAAGATAAGCATACTAACACTACCATGTATGATTTCTATGAACTGGTTTTCTTCCTATTTTTTTTTTATCCTTAGGTCTTATCCCAACAAGTACATACAGTCAAATCACTGTGTTTAAAGTCACTTGGAATATATCCTCTCTATACTTAGTCAGTTATTACTCTCTGATGTTTAAGTGGTCCCTTCTTCAGCTAGTTGGAGCCTATTCAACTTGTCTTCTGAGTCTTTTTAACACAACCCAATAATCATTGATGACTCTTGGCTCAGACCAGGAACCAGCATCCAAAGCCCTAGTTCCTTTTAGTGGGAAATGGTATTTAGAAATAGTATAGGTGCTAAAGGTGTGTGTTCAACTTCTTTGGCCATGTTTCTAGGCCTTTTCAGTGGCCAGAAGTAGGAAATAATATTTTCCATTTTTAGGAGATGTACATCATTAGTTCAGTTTGATATTTCTGGTTCAAATTTTACATTATTTTTATTTAATTCTTTGACTTTTATGCTAAAAGTTTTGGTTGCTGATGACATTAACATAATTTCTTAATTACATATGTAAACTAAGCACACTATGTATATAATTTCTGAGTATAATATGATTATTGAAAAATTTTAAGTTTCAGGTTTTTTTAAAAAATTGTTCTTAGAATATAACCTACTGGGTATTATTTTATTCAAAGTCACTGAAAAAATTCCTTTTTCTGTGGTTAAGCCATCAACTTGAAATATAAGTTGCTTCTGCTTTTGATTTTTAGATATTGCTCCTTTTCATTTGAGTTTAATTTTGTATATTTCTATATATTTTCACAGTTTAAAGTAAATCTTATAAAGAAAAAAAATCTAGCTTTTCTTTTGTCTCCACTCTGTTCCCTCTGACCCACATAGGTAGCCGTTTTCACTATTTTGTTTTGTTTTTTAATATAAGCAAGTATGTATGTGTATCCTCCCTCCCCCATTTCTTACATAAAAGGTAGTAGTTTATTACATAAAATAGACTGCCTGCATTTTCCATTTACAATATGTTCTAGAGTTTACTCTGTAGCCATATATAGAGAAAGATTCATTATTTTTTCCATCTGTATGATCCACTCCATTACTGTTACAGGATTGTTACTCTCAAACTGATTTTGTTTTAACTAGCCAGATTGCTAATAGCTATAATAGGCAAGAATTGTTTTCAAGTTGAACTGTGGCTTGTTTACACATCTATAATAAAAGACATGAGATTGTTTAAAACTATTTAGAGTATTAACTGAAATGTGGTATTAGTGTCCCTCAGGTCTAGTTTGGAGCCCATTGCTCCCTCTATACTTTGCTTTAGGTGTCTTTACCAAATTCATTAACTTATTATATCACTGTTATTTTGTTGATTTCCTAATTTACATATAGGTAAACCCAGATCTGACTTGCATTATCAATTGCCTACTTATTTTACATCTGCACTTGGATGTCTCACAGACATCTTAACCTTAACAAGTACAAAGTAGAATATTTTGTTTTCCTCAAAAAATTCTTGTTCTCCCTATCCCCAACTCTGCATCTGCTACTACCCACTTACTCAACCAGAAACCCAAGAACCAGCCTTGATTCATTTTTTTCCTCACTTTTCACATCCAGCCCCATCCTGATGATTTTATCACCGTAACGTATTTCCAGTCTGGTATTCTTTCCCTCTTGTTTTCTGCCATCATAATCTATGACTTCCCATTGCACTAGGTCCTCTGTGACCTAGCCTGTGCTCATCTTAATTTATTCCCTCCCCTCCAAACCCTCTGTCTATCCTGGTCTTCTTTTCTTTCCTTTTTTTTTTACTGGAGTTTCATTGATATACAGTCTTATATTAATTTCAAGTATACAACACAGTGGTTCAGCAGTTACCCACATTATTAAATCTTCACCTCCACTATTATAGCTACTATCTCTCAGCATAGGAAGATGTTACAGAATCATTGGCTATATTCTCCATGCTATACTACTATCTCTGCCACCAATGTACAATATGATTGAGAATTTTTGTGCCCCTTTACCCACCTCTCTGACGGTAACACCAGTCACTTCTCATTGTCTGCAAGTGTCCTGCTGTTTTGTTAATTCTGTTTTGCTTTGTATTTATATTCCAAAAATAAGTGAAATTATAGTATTCACCTTTCTCTGCATGGCTTATTTCACTGGACATAATACCCTCCATATCCATCTAGATCTGTTTTTTGCTGCTGCAAGTGGTAGGATTTGTTTTCTTTTTATGGCTGAATAGTATTCCATTGTGTAGTGAACCACAACAGTATCCATTCATCTATTGATGGACACTTAGGTTGCTTCCATATCTTGGCTATTGTTAATAATGCAGCAATAAACATAACAGTGCATATGTCTTTTGAATCAGGGATTTTGTTTTCTTTGGGTAAACTCCTAGAAGTGAAATTATGGGGTCAAATGGTATTTCTATTTTTAGTTTTTTGAGGAACCTCCGTATTGCTTTCCACAGTCGCTGCAGCAGTTTACATTCCCACCAACAGTATAGGAGGGTTCCCTTTCCTCCACATCCTCACCAACACTTGTTATTTCTTGTCTTTAGAATAGAGGCCATTCTAACTGGTGTGAAGTGATACCTCATTATGGTTTTGATTTCATTTCCCTGATGATTAGAGATGTGGAGCATCTTTTCATGTGCTTGTTGGCCAACTGTATTTCTTCTTTGTTAAAATGTCTGATCAGATCCTCTGCCCATTTTTAATTGGGTTGTTTGTTTTTTTGGTGTTGAGTCATATGAGTTCTTTATATATTTTAGATGTTAACCCCTTATTGGATAAAGTGTTTATGAATGTATTCTCCCATACTGTAAGCTGCCTTTTCTGTTGATGATGTCCTTTGCTATACAGAGGTCTTTTTGTTTGAAGTAGTCCCACTTGTTCATTTTTTGTTTCCCTTGTCCAGAGAGATATGTCTAGGAAAAAACTGCTCGTACTTAAGTTCAAGAGATTTTTTTGCCTTTATTTTCTTCTAAGAGTTTTATGGTTTCATGTCTTATATTCAGATCTTTGATCATTTTGAGTTTACTTCTGTGTATGGAGTTAAGCAGTAATCCAGTTTCATTCTCTTGCATGTAGCTGTCCAGTTTTCCCAACACCATGTTATTGAAGAGGCTGTCTTTTCCCCACTCTATATTCATGGCTCCTTTAACATATATTAATTGACCATATATGTGTGGTTTTATTATCTGCACTCTCTATTTTGTTCCACTGATCTGTGGGTCTGTTCTTGTGCCAGTACCAAATTGTTTTAATTACTGTAACTTTGTAGTAGACCTTGAAGTCAGGGAGGGTAATCTCCCCAGCTTTGTTCTTCTTTCTCAGGCTTGCTTTGGCTATTTGGGGTCTTTTGTGGTTCCATATTAATTTTAGAGCTGTATGTTCCAGTTGGTTGAAAAATGCTGTTGGTATTTTGAAAGGGATTGCATTGAATCTGTAGATTGCTTTGGGCAGGACGGCCACCTTGGCAACATTAATTCTTCCTATCCATGAGCATGGGATAGATTTCCACTTACTGGTGTCTTCTTTTAATTTCTCCCCTGGGTGTCTTATAATTTTAAAAGTATAGGTCTTTCACTTCCTTGGTTAGGTTTATTCCTAGGTATTTTATTCGTTTTGATGCAATTGTAAATGGAATTGTTTCCTGATTTCTCTGCTAGTTCATTGTTAGTATATAGGAATGCAACAGATTTCTGTGTATTCATTTTGTATTCCTGCAACTTTGCTGAATCCAGTTATTAGTTCTAATAGTTTCTTTCTGGGGAGTCTTGGGGTTTTTATGTATAATATCATGTCATCTGCAAATAGTGACAGTTTAGCTTCTTCCTTACCAATTTGGATGCCTTTTATCTCTTTGTGTTATCTGCCATAGCTAGGACGTCCAGTACTATGCTGAATAAAAGTTGGGAGAATGGGCAGCCTTGTCTTGTTCCCATTCTTAGAGGAAAAGTTTTCAGCTCTTTGCTATGAAGTATGATGTTGGCTGTGGGTTTGTTATATATATATGGCCTTTATTATGTTAAGGTATGTTCCCTCTATACACATTTTGTTGAGAGTTTTTATCATGAATGGATGTTGAATTTTCTCAAATGCTTTTTCAACTATTCAGATGATAATGTGATATCTGTCCTTTTTATTGATGTGAGGTATAATATTGATAGGTTTACAAATATTCTACCATCCTTGTATCCCTGGAATAAATCCCACTTGGTTGTGATGAATGAGCCTTTTTATGTATTTTTGAATTCGGTTTGCTAATGTTTTGTTGAAGATTTTTGCATCTATGTTCGTCATGGATATTGGTCTGTAATTTTCTTTTTTGGTGGTGTGTTTGCCTAGTCTTGGTATTAGGGTGATGCTGGCTTCATAGAATGAGTTTGGAAGTATTCCCTCCTCTTCTGCTTTTTTATCCTGGTCCTCTTTTATCATAAACATATCAGGGTCATTTCCCTCTTGGATGTTATAGAGTCCATAAGATAAAAATATTTTGAAAAGATGATTTAGTTGGGCTAGAAACCAGTCATTGGTAAAAATTCATTTATTACTTTAGATTTCACCCTAAGATCATTGTCCGTAGTGATCGTTAATTAGGAAACTTACCCTAATACATCAATGAAACAGAAGATACAGAATATTCGTAAATGTAAGCATGAATGAAGCTAGAAAGGCTAGGATGTGAACAGATTGTAATAACCTTTTTAACGCTATATAGGTTAGATTTGCGGACTAATATCAAAATCAAAATAAGCAAATACCAAACCTACTTACTTCTCATGTTCACTCTGAGTTGGTGTTTCAGCAGGTAAGTATGCATCATGATAGAAACATTTTCTCTTAAAACTCTTTGACAGGACTCTGACTTGAAGAAAACAGTGGATGAAAGTGCACGGATTCAAAGAGCTTACAACCACTATTTTGATTTGATCATCATAAACGACAATCTAGACAAAGCCTTTGAGAAACTACAAACTGCCATAGAGAAACTGAGAATGGAGCCACAGTGGGTCCCAATCAGCTGGGTTTACTGATGATTCAATAAGATTCATAATTCAAATAAAACTTTAAAAAGTGACTGTAACAAACCTTCTACTGAGAGAATACATGCACAGATAGATGATATCTGCCAAGTTCAGGCATTTTTATTGTGTAGATTGAAATACCAGTACACTATTCTGAATTTTTATATAAAATGTGGTTGGGAAGGTGTACTAATATATAATTTATCTTAATTTTTCTAACTTTTTATGGATAATCTTTCTATTCATATTGCATAAAAAATGCGTTGAAGCATTTTATACATGTTTTGATTTAGTACCCTTGCCTTTTTCGTCAGAGGAGTTTTCAAATCATTCTTCACTCTAACATTGGGCTCACATTCTCACTGTGATAATGAATACTTGAAATAGTTTTGTAAAGCTGTCATTTAGTGCAGTATTTAACTAGTGAAAGGTCAGTTACTCTTATTCAGAGAAAATAGTTAATGGCCTTCTTTCCCAATATAATTTCTTACAGAAGCAGAACTTTAATGTCAGTGGTATAGCTAGCTAGTCTAGGAAACCTGACATCAGAAGTCTGCTCAGTGCTACATGGTTTCGTTATTTCAGAGATGGATGGCTATCCTTTCTAATTTAAACAGATACATTGTTTTCTTTTCCCTTTATTTCTGTCTTTAGGGAAAAAATGAAGAGCAATACCTTGCACTCTCATTTGTTGTAATGACATCTGTTGTTACCAAGTTAACATGTATACAGCAAGCAAGGGCCATGCAGGTTGGGAGAGTGCCTTATTCTGAAAAGCCTTGGAGCAGAATGACACTTACAGTTGATTTACTTTCACGTGTAAAAATTGAACTGACAAAAATGGACCTACTGTTTTAGGTAGTTTTTTATTAGGGTATGGGCAATGGATGTATCATGCCTCTGCAAATTTCTGTGATGCTTAAAAATGCCTCTGAGTTTGCAATTTGGGGTTTTTGTGAACAATTAGTGTGCTTTTTAAATTGTGATGTGATCATTAGGGTTATTTGTTCAACTTGTGTTGAGAAACAAATCCATTTAACAATTTATGACATTTGGAAATGTCAGCTATTTTATCTATACATAATATATACATTATATAATATGTTCAGTGTGTGTATTATATAATATATATTAAATAATGTTTTATATTCTTTTTATATTTCTGTTAGGAAATGAACTTTTTGCTTAATGATTAGAAAAACAGTTCTCCTTCAGACTCATTAACATATGCAAATTTCCAAAATTCACCACAGTTAGTATCTTCCTTTAGAATTCTTGGATGGTGTAAATTCTTCCTAAAACATGTTCAGAGACGCAGCTCATCATTAAACGAAGTCAGCCATACTTTATATTGCTGCTAGCTTTTCACATAGCCAGTATTCACACTTACAGGGTTTGGTGCTTAAAATATTGATGGTCATCTTTGTCAGTGGTAGGCACCAGACACCTGGCTGTTGAATTTGGTTTTTCTTCACCAAAGTAGTCCCATGGGATGCCAGCCAGCGGAGGACTTAAGAGTTTAGAGAAAATACACTGTAGTAAACAATATGCACGCATTGTTTTAAATCTTTTTCACGATGAAACATAACACCCAAGTTGCTATATTATTAAAATTGGAAATCTATAGGTGTTTTTTCATTCCAGAATTTCATATCCAGAACACAAATTGATGTTCTTTATTCTAGGGTAGGAAATTGGTGACAAAATGGATTATACTCTTTAGTAACCTTGGTAGCTTTTAAACTACATATATTTACGTCAAATTCTTGGCTTCTCAAAGCAACATGAATCAAAGCACAGTGTCTAGACAACGTCTTATGGCAGTGTTTCAGCACACTGTAAATTTTAAGAGAAATTTCATTTCCACATTCTCAGGAAATGTGTCGTCTTCTGCAGTGTGCCTTCATGCTGCTGTGCGGAGCCTCTGAACAGCTGTGGGATCATTGTAGCAGCACAAGAAGTTTATCCAAAAAGTGTTCTGACCATCTTGACACAATAGGGATGATTTTTACATCAGATATATTTTGGCCTTATCATATGGTATAAGTGCACAAATAGCCTACACTTTAAGGAATTATTATACATGATATTCATGACTAACTACTTAGTTAATACACACCAGATTCCTAATATAAAATGAAATGATGCAGTGTAGTTCTTCATTTTATTCTAGATGCCACAGCTGAAGAGAATTCAGAAAAGTTCTTTGTATCTCAATACAAAGTCATTGAACTTGAAGCTTAAGTCTTATCTGAGTCTGCAGGAACTAGCAGAGCCCTGCTGGGGCAAGGAGTCCCAGAGCCCCACGATTCTCCCAAGGCCATAAGAGTGTAGTTGTGATCAAGGAAATATAAACTTTTCTTGTGGGAAAACTCTAAGAAAATTAGCTTTACCAAAGAGAAAATGGTTTAAAGTCACATTGAAGAATTGGTAACAGTTAAAATACACATGCATGCTCATACATATGCTTTTGGGAAATATGTGCCAATACCTTAGTGAACCTGAGGATTCCTTGTGGACAGGTGAGTATCCACATTCAGCATTCAGGGCATGACTATACACAACTATTATATATATCTTCTTGTTTTCATTTTCAAATGTACAAATGCCCATAGAGTTAATGTCCCTGAATAAGTCACTTAACTATAATTAGTAGAATATAGGTAATGCACTACAAGTAGAATTTCACTTTTATTACAGCCATGCCTTATTATGCAGTCTCAATTTCTGCTTGATATTGGATAATAGCAAATATCCAATACATCAGGTCTTTGTTTACTTTTGCTAGTTCTAACTATGTAATTACTGAACATAGCTTTCTAAAATAGAACTCATACCATAAACCCTGTATGACTACAGCAATAGTGGCCTGAACCCTAGCTTTTAGAATCTAATAAGTTAATTTAAAATAGCTATGAGGACAAGTTTTCTTTAAAAGAGCAAATTAGTTATTAACACATTCAGAAAATGCCAATTAGCAATAAAATACAATAGCATAGCACTATAGATTATGGCCAGATACTGCTTTGACCATAATATCCCAATGACAATAAAAGATGATCTTTGCTTTAAAAATTCATTAAATTGGTACTTATTTTTATGTAAAACAAGTGTCATAATCCAGTGATTGGGGTTGATTTTTGAGATGGATAGCCATGGAGTTAGAAGTATTTTGAATTGATAAGTACTGAACATAAAAGTTTTGAAAATTGTTCAAAATAAGGATGAAGTTAACATTGTACTTTTATGACTTCTGAAACACTTCATTTTCCAGAAGTCACAGACAGGCTGGAGAGCCAGTAATTTTGTAGTAATGAAGCTTTGTAGTAAATATGAAAAAAGAAGCCCTGAAGTTTTATGTATGTAAATAGCAGATCATTTTTTAAATGTTTGAGTCACTGTATATATATAATATATATACAACTATATGTATAATATGTAAAATTCTCCCAAAATAATAAAAAACTAAATATGTTCACCCATGTAATTATAAAGTGTTCTTAAATTTTTAATTACTCCCAAATCCTTAGACATTCTGAAACTTTTTTCCCTATATTTTATAAGGCTCTGGTTTTACTTTGGGGGAAGATCCTAATTTCCTTTTTGAAAAACATCTGAGGAATAAGCTCAGAAAATTATTATATCTTAATTTCCTTAAGGGAAAAAAACCCGATATGGAAGCCTTTGGGGAAATACTTATTTAAACCTTTGAATGAATGTGTGATATGGCTCATGCTTAAAGATGGTATTTGCCCTCTTGTTCCAACAGATTTGCTGTGAGAATTCATGTAGTAATATCTGCAGTGTATTTGAGTTCTTGGGAGAAATTCAGTATTTTAAGTAATAGGATTATTGTATATTGTATAAATGAATATTATTCAGCATTGCATCAATTTTTATGTAGGCACACATTTTGTCTATCTGAGGAAGATAATTCCATAATTTTTAAGGTAAGGTGGTTTTTAAATTGCATTTTTGTTACTTCAGGTTTTATTCATTTTTTAATACTTACCATAGTTCATCGTGTTACTTTCTGTGTTCCTGGAATTATTTAGTGTACAGAATCAAAATGAGTCCTTTATGCACTAAAAAGTGAAGGAATGATGATATCTCATTTCTAAGGTAAGAATTTAAAGCATGTTGCATCACTTCAGCAAAATACATTGCACTACTTTCCTTAAAATAGTTTCTCTTTCGATAAAAATAGAGATGGTGTACTTCTGGCTGAGATCCTAATTCTGACTTCTAACCATGTGACCTTCGATAAAACTAATATCTTCTTTTACTTTTACTATTCCATTTGTTAAATAAGGATAACCTAATACTTGTCTTCACCTTAAATTACAGGAAGTAAATTGTAACTGATGTGGTAAATGCTAAACTGGTAAAATCCTTATTAGGCTACTTTGTTTCTTATATTTGCCTATATTGAGGTTGCTTATCTTTGAGTTCTTTTAAAATGTTCCTTTTTCCATGGTAACATAGTGAATGGTGCACATGATTTACGAATCCAAAATCCAGTTTTTAAAACAACTCCGAGGATGTACTTCCATCCTGGAAGAGGGTCTTTTCTGCTGTCTTTAGTGGCCCTGATCAGGAAGTCCATTTTAATTTAGAATCCCATTCTAAGTCTAAACCCATAGCAAATCCTTGCTGACAATCAGACCACTCACAAATCAAACAAAATTGAGTTAAATAATGCCATACTTGTCATATCTGAAAACACTCTTTTTGCCCCTTAAAGCTGCCCTTAAATTTGTCACCACAGCCCTATTGTTTAACTCCTAGTATTACATTTAAAAGGCATCTGTTTCTTTATAGGAAGAAACATTCAATTAGGTGCAGTTAGTGGGATGTGACATGAATGCATTTTAGTTATGTTCTCTAATTGATTCATAACTGTTGGCTGGTAATGCAGTGCTACGAAAAATTTGACTTCCTTTACACACCCGAGTTGGTCAGAAGTGACAGGTTTTTTTTTTCCTACTAGCTTCTGTTTTCTTATCTCTCCCTGGCACAAACTGAATGAACACATCTACAGTTAATGTAAATGCCACTTATGACTTCGGAAGTTAAATGATTCAATGCTTGTAAACTTAAGTCCCACTGAACAGGTATTGTCACTACCATAGAGCCAAAGCCAAAGTCTTATTCCGAAAGCTGGAAATTAAACATCTGAGGAATAAGCTCAGAAAATTATTATATCTTAATTTCCTTAAGGGAAAAAAACCCGATATGGAAGCCTTTGGGGAAATACTTATTTAAACCTTTGAATGAATGTGTGATATGGCTCATGCTTAAAGATGGTATTTGCCCTCTTGTTCCAACAGATTTGCTGTGAGAATTCATGTAGTAATATCTGCAGTGTATTTGAGTTCTTGGGAGAAATTCAGTATTTTAAGTAATAGGATTATTGTATATTGTATAAATGAATATTATTCAGCATTGCATCAATTTTTATGTAGGCACACATTTTGTCTATCTGAGGAAGATAATTCCATAATTTTTAAGGTAAGGTGGTTTTTAAATTGCATTTTTGTTACTTCAGGTTTTATTCATTTTTTAATACTTACCATAGTTCATCGTGTTACTTTCTGTGTTCCTGGAATTATTTAGTGTACAGAATCAAAATGAGTCCTTTATGCACTAAAAAGTGAAGGAATGATGATATCTCATTTCTAAGGTAAGAATTTAAAGCATGTTGCATCACTTCAGCAAAATACATTGCACTACTTTCCTTAAAATAGTTTCTCTTTCGATAAAAATAGAGATGGTGTACTTCTGGCTGAGATCCTAATTCTGACTTCTAACCATGTGACCTTCGATAAAACTAATATCTTCTTTTACTTTTACTATTCCATTTGTTAAATAAGGATAACCTAATACTTGTCTTCACCTTAAATTACAGGAAGTAAATTGTAACTGATGTGGTAAATGCTAAACTGGTAAAATCCTTATTAGGCTACTTTGTTTCTTATATTTGCCTATATTGAGGTTGCTTATCTTTGAGTTCTTTTAAAATGTTCCTCTTTCCATGGTAACATAGTGAATGGTGCACATGATTTGCGAATCCAAAATCCAGTTTTTAAAACAACTCCGAGGATGTACTTCCATCCTGGAAGGGGGTCTTTTCTGCTGTCTTTAGTGGCCCTGATCAGGAAGTCCATTTTAATTTAGAATCCCATTCTAAGTCTAAACCCATAGCAAATCCTTGCTGACAATCAGACCACTCACAAATCAAACAAAATTGAGTTAAATAATGCCATACTTGTCATATCTGAAAACACTCTTTTTGCCCCTTAAAGCTGCCCTTAAATTTGTCACCACAGCCCTATTGTTTAACTCCTAGTATTACATTTAAAAGGCATCTGTTTCTTTATAGGAAGAAACATTCAATTAGGTGCAGTTAGTGGGATGTGACATGAATGCATTTTAGTTATGTTCTCTAATTGATTCATAACTGTTGGCTGGTAATGCAGTGCTACGAAAAATTTGACTTCCTTTACACACCCGAGTTGGTCAGAAGTGACAGGTTTTTTTTTTCCTACTAGCTTCTGTTTTCTTATCTCTCCCTGGCACAAACTGAATGAACACATCTACAGTTAATGTAAATGCCACTTATGACTTCGGAAGTTAAATGATTCAATGCTTGTAAACTTAAGTCCCACTGAACAGGTATTGTCACTACCATAGAGCCAAAGCCAAAGTCTTATTCCGAAAGCTGGAAATAGATGTCTATTTCACCTCAGCAACAGGAAGCCAGATGTAGAAGCATGTACATATGACAGGCCATACCTGAAATTTGGCTTTCCTCATATTAGTCAAGGTGGCCTGGGAGCTTAGAGGAAGAGGAAAAGGCTTGTCATTAAAAACCCTCAGCTATGCATTACCAATGTTAAACCAAACATCATTGCCATTTAAAATGTGTGGTTTTCATCTTACTCTCAAATAGGAGAGGCAGGAGCATAAGTAACATTGCTTTGAAGACATAAATCTTGTTGATAAAATTGGTCCAAATGAGAAATGACTTAGTCTTTTCTGGTAGGACCAGATTTGAAGAGTCTCATCCCCATCTGTGATTGAAACACAAGATAAATATTTCTTTTGGCTGTGTCCTCTTTAAAAAAGTACTGCTGACTCCTATTTAGTAACATTGTTTTCTAAGGTATCTTGGATTTTGCTATAGAAGAGTGAACACTAGGCTTCAGCAACATGTAATTTTCTGCATGTTATGTTGAGCTTTGTTACAGCCCAAGATAAGTATTTGATGTGAAAATCTTGATTTGGGGGATTTTTTTTCCATTTCATTTTGGTGTACCTTTATTTTGAACATGCTCTTTTTAACCCTTAGTCTTTGCAGTGATCATAGAAGAGGACTTTTGGTTTTAAATGAAGAGCAAAGCATTTGTTAGCAACCTAAAAATCAAAATTGAAAAAGCTGCTAAAGTAAGTTTCTGATGAAAAAGTTTAAAAATTAACTGCTACTTCTTTCCAAGTAATTGTATTACCAGTTCCTGTATAAAAGAAACATAGGGCTATCCCTATAGAAATGAAATTTTCCTGCACTACAGTTAATAAGTACTGGTATTTCAGAAACTCCCTATAAATTTCCTTTTCACAAATTTCCATATGCTGTCCAAAACAAAAATTAAAATGTTCAGTCTTTGAGATTGCATACTCCTGGTAAAATATTTTTGTATATATAGAAGAAATAAATAATATTGGGAAAATGTAGGGCTTCATTTATAGGTAGAACTAAGATTTAGGGATAATAAAATACAGAGGGTATCAGATTAGCTTGGTAATTTCTTTTAAAGCTAATAGTCATTGTAAAAAGCCTCCAGTGTCATTTAGTTTTTCCCACAAAAATAAATACGTAAACTTTTCTCTGCGTCTCTTTAGGGAGGAAGCCCTATTATTTCCTCTATCCCAGCCCAAGCAATTTGCTGGCTTTCAAAGACAACATACTCAAGAAAAAAAATTCAGAAACAGGGAACATTAAAATATGATCAAGAAAAAGCCTCTTTGGTTTAGATGGCATGGGAGAGACTAGGAGCAGCCAGCCAAGAGAGAGACAGCCTGGTGCGGAAAACAATGCCTGATATAACAAGATATATTTGACCCAGGCCCAGGACCTTAGGCTGATTTCTCCGATTTGCCTAAAGTACTCTGACTGAATCCCCACTCTCTGTACTCTACCTTCTACTAGATCCATTAGCTCCAATTGATTAGAAAGGTCAGAATGTAACTTTTTCATACACAGTATGTAAGGCTTGGGTTTTTTTTTATTTTAATGGAGATATTAGAATTTCTTATATACATATCTGCAGGCCCTGGGCCTGCAGTGAAAAAGGGAGGCCGACCAGCCAGGCTGGCTAGAGGTGGAGGCATGACTGGGTGAGTGCAGAGAGCCTGTTTCCAGTAAAGGTACTCTGCAACTCCCCCAAGCTGGCTTCTGGGATTCTATACCTCATACTTCAGAAATTGCCTGTCCAGTAAGTATATTTCTGATATCTCCAAAATAGATTTTATATAGTTGATTCTTCCATCTTACACTACCTGTCAGTTTCCTCTCACTGCAATAACAAATGACCACAAACTTAGCAACCTTATCATCTCAGTTCGTAAAATCAAGCACGGATCTCAGCAGACTACAGTCAGGATGTCTCCCAGGGCCTGCCCTGGCTATACATCTGGGAGAATGCTCCTGCAGGTCGTTGGTGGACCTGTGCCGTGAGGTTGTAGAACTGAGGGCACCTCTTCTCGGCTGCCTATCCTATCCAATAGGATAACTGGCCAGTCCTAGTACAGTTGTGAAACAGCCAAATATCTTAGTTGCCCATTTGATGCAACCCAAACTTTTGGTACTTGCTGGGATGGCATCTTTTCTTGTCTGTCTGAAAGCTAGCTTTATGTTTTGGTGGTGGTTTTGTTCTTAAAATAAAGGATAATACATACAAAATTATAACAGAAATACAAGGGTAAAACCACGCGCCTCTCCCAAGCCTGGCCTATTGCCCCAATCCCTAAATCATCTCCCTGAAGGAGCCACCATTGGCTTTCTTATGAACTCTTAAGTGAGGTTTCCATGCATTGTGATGCATTCTGCAACTTGTTCTGATTCCACAACCACAGAATTTTATTACAGTAGTACAAAACACATAAATCTCTAAGTGGAATGATTTAATAGCATAGTTACTTAAGTGTACTTTTACACATTTTTAAAAAGTTATATAATTATGTCAACTGTTTACTATAACATCTAAGGAACTTAGAACAGTACTTAGTATACAATAAGCTATATATTTATAAGCAACATATATATTATTGCAATCATTTCCAAAGACTTTAGAAAAGTATATACCACTGTATAACTAATTGAAGTATAGTTGACATACAATATTAGTTACAGGTGTTACATATAATATTAGTTACAGGTGTACAACATTGATTCAAGAATTTTATACATTATGAAATGCTCACTACAGTAAATGTAGTTACTGTCACCAAAGTTATTGCAGCATTGACTATATTCCCTATGTTGTGTTTTTTGTCCCCATGACTTTAGTTCAGAAAACGAGACAAGGCGGCATGTAAAGGTGCCACCATTTTCCCTTTTGCATATTCTTTTCAATTCATGTATAATGTGCTTATTTTTTGTTGTTAACAACTTTATATCCCTTTTTCTCACCATAAGTATTTGCATAAGGCTTTGTCTCATTTTTAATAGGGATGGTGAAAGGGTTAGTTGCCTCATTTCTTCTTGTTAATGTTCATTAAAATCTGAAGGGCAGAGAGTACGTAGGTGACATTGAGGGTAACAAACACACTCCTCCTGCCACTGCCTCCCTGCCCTTCAAGTAAGACAAAGTCTACCAGTAGGTCTCAGCTAGTTTCTGATGAGGGAAAGCAGAAGTGGCCTGAGGTCCCCAGTTGTTCTTAGCAATGGAATCAGGGGCACTAGGGAGACCATCCAGGTCTCTATATTGTATCAAAGAAAACCCTGAACTGTGCATATTTTGCTTTTTATGCTGTTTTGACATCCTTCTATAACTAGTTTACAGATTAAACATCCAGAATGCATGAGAAATCACATTGTTCTAGACACAGTACGTTCATCAAAGCATGGCAAAGTGGAATAAAATACATATAGTCAGACCCCCACGGAAGGGGGTGTCCTGCTATTAGATTATTTAATTTTGTCTAGCAGAAGAATATATGTACTTTAATGGCATTTACAGTTCATTTTCCAATCACCACATGTAAAATATAGCCTCTCGTAGAAAGAGAAATTGCCTTCCCACAGCATTCACAATTTAAAGTTGATTTTGGGGTCAAAGTGCCAGGCTCATCTGTTGTATGAAACAGAAAGTGGGAAATAACAAGAAAATGATACGTGGACCCATATTTCTGCAGAATAAAGGTTGAGTGTAGGCTAGCTTAGAGTTCTCAACCCTCCTCCAGCTCTTCAGGTGTAGCGTTCAACTTGGACATTGAGTCACCAGCACAGGAGGACCTCTTATGAAAAAGAAACTTTTTACAGAGTACCTGGTGGCTGTGAAGTGACTCCTAACGCAGTCAACTCTTCTTGAACTTTTTAAATTCATTCCTGGATCACTTTTAACATGGATCTGCCCTAAGCCCCAAAGAAGTATCTTGATGCTGAAAAACCGCAGCCTTGTTATTCACATGTAGCATCATTCATGTGCTCTGCCTAACGCACAGAGTCCACACAAGCTTACATAAAGAATGAGTGGGAAGACATTCGGGTCCTTCGAGGTGACGGCTTTTACAGATGCCTGCAGTATCTCCAGGTTAATGTCAGCTGAGGCAAACAGACGCTGTACAATCCCAAACCGGTCTGTGTCTTTCAGAAGAGCCAAGGCGGGGTCGTCAAGGTCAGCTACTCCATCGTTAGACAGAGCACAGAGCTGAAATGACACATTTAAATAAATTCACTTAAAAAGGTTATAGAAAATCCACATAGCTAATTTATGAAAAAAAATTTTTAGTTGTTTTACATTTTCCAAATGGAGCAAGAAAACCCTGATATAACAAGATATATTTGACCCAGGCCCAGGACCTTAGGCTGATTTCTCCGATTTGCCTAAAGTACTCTGACTGAATCCCCACTCTCTGAACTCTACCTTCTACTAGATCCATTAGCTCCAATTGATTAGAAAGGTCAGAATGTAACTTTTTCATACACAGTATGTAAGGCTTGGGTTTTTTTTATTTTAATGGAGATATTAGAATTTCTTATATACATACCTGCATGAACTCCTCAAAGAGGCAGGTATCAGCTTATTTAAGCCTCCTGCCTCAAGAACCTTTGCTCTTGCCGTTTCTTCTACCTGGAATACTCTTCCTCTGGAGTTCCATACAGACCTCTCCTCCTCTCTCAGTTACCAGTTGAAATGCCACATTAGAAGGGCCTTTCCTAGTCTCCTCTCCACTGCTCTTCCTCCCCCCATATCCCAGCCACTATTACATTATTTTATTGTCTTCACATGCTTACTATATCTGAAATTATCTTCTTGATAGTCACTGTAGTCTGGTTAGTCAAACCTAAGTTGCTTAGAAGAGCAGGAAACTGGTCTGTTGTGTTCACTTTTCACCAGGCCAAAGAACACAGGCCTTCAGTGTGTTGAATGAATGTCAGCCCGTCAGAGAGGTCACTTCACACACTGCTTTAATTGCAATTGCTCAGAACTTTTGAAACTTTGCTTTTAGGGTCTTGATCAGTGCCTGTGACATGTTGTTCCCCTTAATCTTCAGTAATTACAGATTTGCCAGTAGATTTGATTTTTAAGCAGGCATTCAGAACTAGATCAGATTAATAATGTAGACAGTAAAGTTCAAATGTTGAAAAACCTGTAAAGTGTGGATTTTAACTCAATCTGAAGGGAATCCAAAAGAATGCCAGAAATATTCTGAGCAATGTTAACGTTATTGATAATAATAGGCAGCATGTCCAAATGGCTGAAGGTCAACACTCGTTTGAATACAAAAGTACTTATGTGTCTATCAAAGTCAGACTTGCAGACCTATACCTTGTAGATACGCCAAAAACAGTTCACACGGTGTAACCACAGGCTTAATGTTACCTGTTGGCCCAGACTGTAAACTACTGATTATGCTTTATAGAATGGATTAGGCCTGCTCTTTAAGCACAGGCACCATATCCTGGCAATTTAAGAATGAGCTCCACTGGTACAGGCTGAAGACAGCCAGGGCACTGCAGGCTCTGTCCTGGGTCTGCCGCAGACATGCTGGGCAGTATCCAGCGTCCTTCTCTGAACATCTGCCAGCCGCAAGCTCCCAGAGGCACTTCTAGGTCTAAATGAGATTACAGTCACCCAAAGGGTGGTAGGGCAAAATAACACTCTCTGTTGCTGATCCTAACTCACCTTCTTACCAGTTTGGGAAATGTTAGTGTTATGTGACGCCATGCTCCCAAAAGCCCTTCAGAAAGCCCCACAAAGTCACTCTGGCCACCAGACAAGAAAAGACAGGAATGCTGGTAGGTCTCTGTACCCTGTTCTAAGTAAATCCCTTTAAGAAACACAATACCCAAATTCCTTCAGAAGCCTTGCTGTCTTAAGAGTACCAATACTTGGAGGAGATTATGTGAAGGTCTTTAAAGAAAACTGATGTCCATGTTGAGCAGCCCCACTAAGGCAGACAAATAACTCTATGGCTGGGCAGTTTTGTGCCAGCGTTGACTGCCAGCCATTCTGAAACTCTGAGTATACGCTCCTGCCTACGTTTAGAAGACCAACAGAGCAGAACCTGGAAGCAACACAAAGATCAAATCATAGAGCTGATCTGCAAGGAAGATGACAGCTAAGCGTGAGTTTGTGGGAAGAGGGAGTTAAATAATGTGGTCTTGGCAGTATTTTCTTACATCCTGATGCAGTTAATGGCTTTGTAAATACTTGTAAGCACTAACTTGGGGATGCTAAGCACTCAGTTGCTGCAAAAGTAAGCTGGGCTACAAAGCAGAGTTGCTGTCTTGCTCATTATTGCAGACAATTAGATAATGATATGTATTGTTTACATAACCAAGTTGCCACAAGTCTTTACCTTCAGCTGGCTGCAGGACACACATTTTCAAGTAGTTCTGTTTTTATGGTCAAAGTACAAGAACACGGCATGCCTTTGGGCTGGTAGAATCTGCTCTAGGTTGTGAATAACATCTAAAGTGCTCCTTGGAGTGATGCCTTGCTGCAGTCTTTGGATGTCACTGCTATGCAGAGAAGTACCCAAGGTACTAGCCTTCATGCTCAAAGTTCCCTGAGTGGGTGCATAACAAGTTTCTACCCCAATACCTGCTCCCCAGATCTGGGGAGCAGAGCTCTGCACATTGGTCCTTTGAGCCTTGGCCCTTACTAACCAGACCTGAAAATAACCCAGCCAGGTAAGCTTTGCCTCTCTGCCCCAGGCTGAGGAATACCTGCAAAAGCTACATTAGAGGAGCTGCCCCATTAGAGTGGTTTCTAGGCAGCATATTGATGGTTCCTTCTATTAATAACCCAATTAGTAATTTAAAAAGGAAAAGCTTAATCTTGACTCTCTGGGGTTAAGCTCTTCATTACCTAACTCTTGCTATTGCCAGTAATTCCCCAGGGTACAAAGCTAATGTTATTCCTAAGAAAGATTGAAATATCTCCCTTAGACAAAGCACCCTCTTGAATACCTCCCTGGTGAACGTTTGGCAGAGTTGAGTCAGACTCGTCTAGCCACAGAACTGCTGTTGCAAATGATATGGTGCCAGGCTCCTTCCCTGCAGTGTTGCACCAAACCTTGGCTATCAGTCTCTTCAAACAGTGGGAAAAGCATGAGATTTGGAGTCTATAAAAAGGTAGTCTTAACCCTGCTAGCATTTCTTCAAACAAATCCCTTCCTTTTGGGCCTTAGTCTTCCTGTAGGGTGGGCTGTATGATGTGGACAGGATATATAAAGGGTTACTAATACCAGTTTAACCTATGTTGGAGAGCTGTTATGGATGAGGAAAGCTAGAGGTGTTTTATCAGCTGGTAGGTGTTCATCTCCTCATTTACCCATTCCTGCCCATCCTCGGGTCCCATCTGGGAAGTTCCTTACCAAGTGACACAGTGTAGGAATAATCTGGAGCTTGTGGCAAGTGCCCAGCAGAGCTGCTGCATTATCTGGCATTTCTGCAGGAGATTAAAAAAATCAGTCATTATCAAAAAAAGGCATCCATGGGAACACAGCCAGCCCACGGATTGTACCTAATTTATACTTTCATGCCCTCTGGCTTGCTGGGCAGAGGGTAGGCACAGTAATTATTGAATACATGAATGATGCTAAACAGGCAGCAAAGGCCTTTTAGAAAACATATACAGAACCAGGCAATGTTCACCTTGAGATTCGATTTGCCAGTCAGGATGAACTGTACAGACTCAGGGAAAAGCAAATTGGTGTGGAAAAGTAGAAAGAACCTGGGATCTGGTGACCACACACTTCTATTTGAGCTCCACTGCATATTTGGGGTGTGACCTTGGGTACACCTCTCTAAGCATGTTTCCTTATTTGACCAACTGTAGTTTCTTTTTGTTTTTGGTCTGTGTCAGAAAACTGAGTAAACTATGAAGGATTCTCCCCAGGTCTCTCATCATCTAGGAGGTGGGGGGTAGGGATGCAATGCACCTGATAAAGGGGTGGCACAGCAGCCCTCCCAGACCCAGGACTATGCAGGGCCCCCATGGCAGAGGGAGTTTGTGCAGAGCTGTGGTGAAGCTGGGGCTGCATCAGAAGGAAGGGCCCTGCCAAGCCCAGGAAAAGGATCCAATCCCTCGGGATACCACCTTTGAGCTGACAGTGCAAAAGAGAAAAGAGTCACCTGCTTAGTCATCTGGCCCAGGGCCCTCCCTCTACTACTGCATTGACATGCTGTATGTGCATTTGTCTACAGAAAGGATCCACAGCCAGCAGATGCTCAAGAAGGCCTTTATCCCAAATCAGGAAGGGGAAGATGATACGTGGAAAGACTGTGGGACTTAGAAAGGACCAAGTCAAGTCCTCACTGAGCTACTGTCACGAGTCAGCTGCCCGTGCTTCCATTCCTTCACTTTTCAGGTGGCTCCTGAGGCCCATGTAATCATCATCCTTTGTTCTTAGAAATAGTTCAGTTGCATGTTACTCAGACAGTCATTCACTATTTTGAATATGGTGCTAGTGACACAGGGGTGACAGACAGCATCTGCTTTACAGAGATCACCACCTGACTTTACTGCTGGACTCTAATTTCCTTGTTTCCTTCTACCTCAGCTCTTAGCAGTGCCTAAAACTTAGAAGAGGCTTATTTAGTATTTCTTGAATTGAAATGATTTGATTGCTGTATTTTCACAAATAAGACCTGGGGAGTTCATGCTTAAGGTCAGAAAGGAGAAAGCATTCCAGGCGACTGGCCAGATGCTGGGACTGAAGTGCTTTAAACAAGCACAAGGCAGCCAGTTCAAGATGGTGACGAAGGAAGATCCTGAACTCACCTCTTCCCACAGACACACTGAATCTATAGCTACATATAGAATGATTTCTCCTGGGGGAAAAAAACGTAAAATAAAACTACCTGAGGAACTCCTATACATCAGTTGCTTAAGAAAAACTATATCAAAGAAGGTAGGAAAGACTTAGACACAGTTGTGCCATAAACCCCACAGCTGCGAGGAACTCAAGAGTTTCTCCCTGAGGAGTGAAGACCCACAACCACCCCACCAAGAATCTAGCTTTGAAAGCCAGTAGGGCCCACGTTCATGAAACCCAAAAGGCTATGGCAAACTGAGAAACAGACTTTCTGTGAAAGAGACTTACTTGCTATCTTAAAGCATCAGCCTGAGGGTCAAATTGTAAACACATCTGGGGCCTACTGGGGCACTCTGGGGAGGGAAGCCACTGAACTCCATCACTGTGCCCTCTCGGTGCCATACCCCAAAGCACACCCCCTGATCTCCTTGGTCCTCAAGGACTGTAACAGACACACAGGTCTTGGCTAGTTGTACCATCAGGGCACCATGCAGACTAAAACACACTTCCAGTCTTTCTGTGGAAAAGGCCTATTTGCTTGTCTTTATTTGGCACCCTGATTTTTGCACCTGCCAGCAGAGTACACCTCTGGGTCACCTGGCTCTGTCTGGTGGCCAGCAGAACATAGCTCATGGGTGCTACAGGACTGTAGCCAACAATGAGTTCTTCTGCTGTCCCCCCTCCCCCCATGGCACAACAGAGCCAGAAGCCCAGACTTTCTGTGAAAGAGGTTTATCTCCATAGCTATGGCCTGAGGAGTAGGCTTCTAACCAAACACACAACAAAGGTCCTAATGAATCCTTTCTAGAGGCCTTGAAGGGTACATGCCCTCCCTTTGCCATTACCCAGAGTGCCAGTATCCTGGAGAGGAGCTTTTACACTTATCTGATGCCCTAGTGTTTTGCAGCAGCTGCCAAGGGGATGCCTCTTGAATACCTGGCTCTGGTGGCCAGTGGGATTTGCGTTCCTGGATCTGTACAGAGGGACATCTTGGCTGGCTACCATCCCCTGGGGGTCAGCACAGATGCAGACTGAGAGACACTCCCAGTTTTTCTCTGAAAGAGGCCAGTTTGCTTGTTCTGAAGTTGTGACCAGCAGGACTTCTATGCTTAGGGTCTGGTTTCCAGACTAGGTTCTGACTGAGATCCTCCTCTTTGGGACATTGACAGGTCTTGACAAATCCTCAACTACCGAGAGCCCCTAAAAATAAAATAAACATTGTGATTGTCCAAACAGCCTAAGAGTCAACCAAGAGCTAAGGCAGTTGAACAAGAAGGTTCATCTCATGCGTAGAAACCATCACAGAGAGTTAAAGAATGAAGAAACAGGAATATGTTCCAAATGAAAGAACAAAATAAAACCTAAGAAAAAGTCATTAATGAAAAGGATACAAGTGATTTACCAAATAAAAAGTTAGTGGTCATAAAAATACTTCCCAAGCTTGGGAGAATGGATGAACACAGAACTTCAACAAGGAGAGAGAAAATAAAGTACCAAATAGAAGTCACAAAGCTGAAGAATACAACTGCATGGAGGAATTCAACAGTAACTAGATGAAGCAGAAGGAAGGATCAGTAAACACAGCTTAAAGAACTACAGACAGCATCAAGCAGAAAACATTTGCATTATGGGGGTCCCTGAAGGAAAAGTTAGAAAGAAATAGACATCCATATCCAGGAAGCACAGAGACTTCTAAAAAGAGGAAGCCAACTACACCAAGAGCAATTGTGATTTGTCAAAAGTTAAAGACAAGGAAAGTCTTAAAAGCAGCAAGATAAAAGACTATCAGTAGAAACATATATTGTGCCACTCCCTTCTGGCCTGCAAAGTGCTCAAAGAAAATAGCTTCTAATCAAGAATATTCTCCCCAGCAAAGTTGTCATTCAAAATTGAAGGAGAGAGAAGAGTTTTCCAGAAAGACAAAGCTAAATAAATTAATCACCACTAGACCACTAACAAAAACTGTTAAATGACTTGTTTAAGCTGAAATGAAAGGGCACTTATTGGTAAAAGGAAAACATGAATATAAACTCTCACCAGTAAAGATAAACATTTAGTAAAACTTAGAATAATTTAATTGCCATAAAGGTGATAGACTAATTACTTATAAAGCTGGTATGAAAGTTAAAAGCAAAAGTAGTGAAAATGACTGTAACTATAATAATTTTTAAGGGATGCCAAAAGAAATATAAATTTTGACATCCAAATCATAAAACATGGTCGGGGAGTACAGTGTAGAGCATTAGAGTGCATTCAAACATAAACTGTTACCAATTTAAACTAGACCGTTATAAATACAAGTTGTTATATGGTAACCACAAAATATGTACTTATTGCCATTTTGTTAATTATTATTAATTACTTTAAATGAACTAAATTCTCCAATTAAAAGATAGAGTGGCTGAACTGATTAAAAAACACAAGCCCCATCTATGGGCTTCCCAAAAGTAACTAATTTCAGATGTGAAGACACAGACCAAAAGTAGAGGGTTGGAAAAAAATATTCCATGCAATGAACACCAAAAGAATGCTGGGGAAGCTATTCTTACATCAGACAAAGTAGACTTTAAAACAAAGACTGTAATGAGAGACAAGGGCATTACATAATGATAAAAGGTCAATCCAACAGAAGATAGAATATCTGTAAATGTCTCTGCACCCAACATAACACCTAAATCCATAAAAGTAAATAATAACAACCTAAAGAGAGAAATAGCAATTCAATTGTCATAGGCAATGTTTTAATACCCCACTTACATCAATGGGTAGATCATCCAGACAGAAAATCAATAAGGAAACACTGGCCTTAAATAACACATTGCACCAGATAGACTTACGTACAGAACATTCCATTTAAAAGCGATAGAATATACATTCTTCTCAAGTGCACATGGAACATTCCCCAGGATAGATCATATGTTAGGCCACAAAAAATGTCTTAATAAGTTTAAGAAGTCTGAAACCATATCAAGCATCTTTTCCAACCAACCACACTGGTTAAACTAAAACTAAAAATCACAAGAAAAAAACTGGAAAATTCACAAATATGTGGAGATTAAACAATTCCAACAAGCAATGAGTCAAAGAAAAAATCAAAATAGAAATAGAAAAATACCTTGAATACAACATACCAAAAACTTACAGGATGCAGCAAAGGCAGTTCTAAGAGGGAATTTAATAGCAATAATGTCTCAAGAAAAATCTCAACCTAATTTTACACCTCAAGGAACAACAAAGGGAACCCAAAGTTAATGGAAAGAAGGAAATAACAAAGGTCAGAGTGGAAATAAATGGAATACAAACTAAAAAGACCAACAAAATTGAAAAACCTTTAGCTAGACTCATCAAGACAAAAAAAAAGATTGAAGTAAAATAAATGAGAGATATTACAATTGATACCACAGAAATACAAAGGATCATAAGAGACTCTATGGATAATTTACTCCAACATTGGATGCCTAGAAGAAATTGACAAATTCCTAGAACCAAAGAAACTCCAAGACAGAATCTGGAAGAAACAAAAAATCTGTACACACTGATGACTAGTAAGGACATTGAATCAGTAGTCAAAAATCTCCCAACAAAATTCGAGGATCAGATGGCTTCACTGGTGAATTCTACCATACACTGTGAGAATTAACACCAATCCTTCTCAAACCCTTCCAAAAAGTACAAGAGGAAGAAACACAAATTTCATTTTACAAGACCAACATTACCACAATACCAAAATCAGACAATGCCACAGAACAAGAAAATTTCAGGCCAGTATCCCTGATGAACATAGCAAACCAAATTCAACAATGCATTAAAACAATCATACACCATAATCACATGGGATTTGCTCCAGGGATGTAAGGATGGTTCAGTATACACATCAATTAATGTGATATATACCACATTAACACAATGAAGGATAAAAATCATGTCATCATCTCAATAACGCAAAAAAGCATTTGACAAAATTCAATATACATTCATGATAAAAACTCAACAAAGTAGGTACCTCAACATAAAAGAGGCCATATACAACAAGCCCACAGATAACATCATACTCCAAGGTAAAAAGCTGAAAGTTTGTTCTCAAAGATCAGAAACAAGGAAACCCACTCTCACTACTTTGTTCAATATAGTGTTGGAAGTCCTTTGCCTAGTAAATAGGCAGGGAAAAAAAGCATCTAAATGGAAAGAGAAGTAAAACTGTCACTATCTGCAGATGACATCTATAGAAAACCCTTAAGAGTCCCCCATACAAAAAACAAATAAATTCAATCAAGTTGGAGGATACAAAGTCAATATACAAAAATCCAGTGCATTTTTAGTTGACACTAACAAAGAAATTAAGAAACCTCATTTATAATTGCATCAAAAATAATAAAATGCCTAGGAATAAATTTAACCAAGGAGTTGAAGGACCTGTACTCTGAAACTATAAGACACTGATGAAGAATATTGAAGACACAAATAAATGGAAAGCTATACAATGCACATGAATTGGAAGAATTAATATTATTAAACACACAACCCAAAGCAATCTACAGATTTAATGCAATCTTTATCCAAGAATTCCAATGGCATTCTTCACAGAAATAGAAAACAATCTTAAGAAAGAATTAAGCTGGCAACATCACTCTCTGGTTTCAAAGTATATTACAAAGCTATAGTAATCGAAACAGTGTGGTATTGGCATTAAAACACATGCATATATGTTCAATTAACTACAGAGGAGCCACGAATGTATAATGGGGAAAGGACAGTCTGTTCAACAAATAGTGCTGGGAAAACTGGACAGCCACATGCAAAAGAATGAAACTAGACCACTATCTTACACCATTCACAAAGATAAACTCAAAATGGGCTAAAGACTTGAAGGTAAGACCTGAAACCATAAGACTCCTAGAAGAAAACAGGTGGTAAGCTCCTCAACACCACTCTGGGCCATTTTTTTTTTTTTGATTTGTCACTAAAAGCAAAGCCAACAAAATGAAATGGCAAGCTACTGAATTTTTCTGATATTTTTATATCATATATCTGATAAGGGGTTAGTATTCAAAATATATAAAGAACTCATTCAACTCAACAGCAAAAATTCCAATTTAATAATGGGTAGATCTGAATAACATTTTTCCAAAGACAACATACAGGTGGCTCATACGTACATGAAAAGATGTTCATTATCATTAACCATCAGGGAATTACACCACAGTGAGGTACCACTTCACACCTGCTAGAATAGTTATTATCAAAAAGAAGAAATAATAAGTGTTGACAAGGATGTGGAGAAAAGGGAATCCTCATGCACTGTTGGTAGGAATGTGAATTGGTACAGCCACTATGGAAACCAGTATGGAAATTCTTCAAAAAATTACTATCATATGATCCAGAACTCCAAATTATAGGTATCTGAATAAAATGAAGACACTAACTTGAAATATGAACCACCTTGATCACTGTAGCACTACTTAAAGTAGATAAGATACCAAAGTAAACTAAGTATCCATCGATGGATGATTGAATAAAGATGTGGTACATATACACAATGTAATAGTTTTCAACTCCACAAAAGAAAGAAATCCTACCATTTGCAACAATATGAGTGAACCTTGAGGATATTATGCTGAGTAAAATAAGCCAAGCAGAGAAAAACAAATACTGTGTGATCTCAGGTGTGGAATCTTAGCAAAACAACAAAACTGAGCTGAAAGATACAGAGAACAGATTAGTGGTTTCCACAGGTGTGTGGTTGGGGAGGGAGATATTGGGTGAAATGGGTGAAGGTGGCTAAAAAAATACTTATTTCCAGCTATAAAATAAGTCATGTTAACTATAGTTAACAATACTGTATTGTGTTTGAAAGTTACCAGGAGAGTAAATCTTAAAAGTTCTCATCACATGACAAAAATTAATTTTGTAACTACATATGATGATAGATGTTAAAAATATAGTCATGATCATTTTGAAATACACCCAAATAAGGAACCATTATGTTGTACACCTGAAACTAATATATCAATTATACCTCAATTTTCTTGAAAAAGTTAAGCACTTTAAAGCCAAAAACCAGCAATATTATTTAGAAAGCTGGAAATAGGACTAAAAAAGAGGCCATTTTCTGTTCTAGTACTTTCCCCAGATTCTCAGGAGAGAAGACTGTTGTGGGCAAAAAAAGTCAACTCAAAGGTACATGACTAACATAACATTGAAGGGAAGTTGTGAGGACCAGGAACTGGGCGGGTGTGCCAGGTCTTGCCTTTCTGAGAAGGAACTAAACGCTCTTGGGCCCGCAGGATGTGCGCTCTGGATGGGAGGGGTAGGAAAGGAGGGCAGAGAGAGGGGTAGAGGAGGAGGGTCCCTGCTAGATGACCAGGCCCCTGGGACAGCCATTTTAGGACCATAGGGAAGTTGTGGGCCCAGTACCGTGGGGCTCTGGATGCTTCCCAGCCTCCCTGCCCAGGTGGCCACAATGCTACCCTTAGCTTGCAAAGATCAGAACCAGAACCCAGGGAGAGCTGTTGCAAATGAACGCCACCACCACTCAGCGCTGCAGGGCTCTCCCGGGAATCACAGGCTGTTTGGGGAGATGCTTTCCTGTGTTGGTGAGGGATGTGCCTGCAGGCGGCCCTCCCTGAGGATAGGAAAGAGAAGTGCTCTCTCTTGAGAGGGCAGGAGAATGGCACCGACTGCCTTCACACACAAGCCTGTGAGTGTTCACAGCAGTCACGTAAGCTTGCTCAGCCTTCCACTTCTGAAGCCCGCTGCACTGCTCAACAGGACGGAACCACATGTACCAAATCTTCCACAATAGTAACCAAAGCAATTCCAAGGCAACAACAGCATTTCTTTTTCTTTTCCCGTACCTGCCAGTGCACTGACCAAGAAGTAGGCTGTAGAAAAGAGCTTCTGGTTGCTGATGGCATCCTGCAGACCTGGACACCCACCCTGCATGCTGCACCCCACCAGTCCCAGGAAGGCTGTGAGGACCTGCTCCTGCAGGGGCTTCAGCTCCCCCAGTATCGCCAGTGGGGGTGACAGGCCACTGACCACATTGTCACACTGTAGGGGGAAGAGAGAAGAGATGTGAGAAGGCTAGAGGCCAAACAGTACAGCCTGGGCCTCTGCCCCACAGTACACAGACCCACGCCCTTCTCCATCTCCCAAATCAAGCAGGACCCTGTGCTCTTCTCTGTTTCAAAACAGCTCATCCACCAGGTTAGATTTCCTTGTAAGGAGACAGTAAACTGAGCCTTGCCCAGCTAGGTACTGTGCTTTCACGGCAAGGAGGCATGCAGGAACTTTGGGGCAGAAGCTTCTGCAGGGTCTGGAAGGCTGTACCAGGAGCAAGTGAGTACTCAGAACTGAGGAGAGGGGCAGAAAAGCATCTTCCCACTGTGGTTCTCAAGCTTCAAACTTGGCGCTCTAGCCCCCTGCCATATTCACAGCTGGACCCAGGCCAGCCTCCTCCAACCTGGGGGCCTGCCGGGAGGTGAGTGGTCCTGCGGCAAGGGCTGCCTGGCCACCCCAACACCTTGTCATTCTGTGCCATCGCAGCCTGCTTGTCCAGCTCTGTTCGCATGAGAGCCCACCAGCCCCCAGCACCTGACAGGGCAGCTGGTGCACAGGGTGCCGGCCTGACATTTCCCTCTTGGAAGAGCTATTTTAGGAAGTGAAAGCCAGTGGGCTTTTTCAAACATTTGTGTTCTCCCAGGGGCTAGCATGCATCCCGTGGGCCCTGCACCTGCCAGAGCACACAGATGTCCTGAGCTGTTGGGCCGTTTCAGTAGCTGCAGGTTCCATCACTGGTAACTAAGCTCTTGGCACAATCCGAGTTCAAGAGGGAAAAAGAATATGAATGCTCTCCCTGGAAACTATATTAAATCATAAAACCAGGGTTCAAACTCTCTGCATAACAGAAAAACAAGAAAACAGAAGAACAACTGCAGTAAAAATCAGGTTTAGCGCCCCCCAGCCATCTTCAGGGAGGACAGCACAAAGTCAGGGCGACTGGAGGCTGGCGACTGGTGTGCTGTTTGACTATTAGTCAAAGAACTCAACTAATAAAGCCTCCCCAGAAAACCCTCCTGCTACAAAACAAACATACAAAGCCCTGCTTTTCGATCCATTCTGAATAGGACAGGTTGACTTGTTGGACCCTTCCACATAGCTCTCTGGTAGGGGTTGAGTAGCTGCCCTGAGGTATATGTCCACGTGGCGCTTCAAAATGTGATCTTAGTTGGAATAGGATTCTTTGCAGATACAATTAAGGTAAGGAGATGAGATCCTCCTAGATAGGAGCCCTAAATCCAATGGTGGGTGTCCTTTAAGAGAAAGAAAAGGAGATGACACAGACAAAGGGGAAGGCCATGTGGAGACAGATTCGAATGGAGTGATGTAGCCACACGCCAAGGAACTCTGGAAGCTGGAGGAGGCAAGAAAGGATTCTTCCCTAGAGCCTTTGGGGGAAGCATGGCCCTGCTGGCATCTTGACTTCAGACTTCTGGCCTCCTGAATCATGAGAAAATAAATTTGTGTTTTAAGCCAGGTAGTTTGTGGTAATTTGTTACCACAGCACTAGAGAACCATTATACCCTTCGATTCCTGACATCAGCTACCTTCTTGTAGTTTAAAAACTACGGACCTGGTAATTCAGAGAAAAAAAAACTTTAGGGTTCAAAGGAGGTGTAGAAATTTTAAGCATAATTTTATCCCAGCTTCGAAGCCTTATCCCAAGGGGTCTAGCCCATCCACATCTCCAGAATACCAGGTGGCAATGTCCTGATCTTACCACTTGTTCCAGGACAACGAGTAGTTCCTCATCAAACAGGACCGTCTGGAGAAGGCCACTCAACACTGTTTGTCGCTGCTCCGGCAGCTCCACAAAGGGATGGAAATTTTTCTCCAAGAGCTGAGTTGCTGTGAAAGCAGAGCACACCCGGTCTCCCGACTGCTGTGCGTGTCTCACTCAGGACACGGGGCAGCAGCCCTTGCTTTTTGTATTAACTGTCTTGTTCTTTCATAGATGCTCCCAGCTGCACAGTCATGAGCTCAGAAATAATGGGCATCAAGTTAAATACCACCCTGTGTGCTTTTCAATAATCACTCAAACTACTACAAGAAGAAAAGAGGATTGGAGGCCAAAAGGATAAAAAGACAGGAAGACAGGAAAGAAGAAGGCTACCTACCAGTTTTATTTCATACATCACTGTTCTTTCTGATGCCTTGCTAAATATTAATCTGTTATTTTCTGGGAAAGTCACTCATTAGCATGATTTCTATAGAAGTAAATTATCAAGGCCACATTACTAAACATTAGTACTTTTACAATGCTTAAGACCATGCAAATTCCAAAATATATTATTTTTCCTATCCTTTCTTCTAATTCATTGCATTGTATCCTTTAATATTTAATGCATGTTTTCCAAAGAGGCTGGCACCCTATTTTCATGAGAAACAGAGCTATTCCACTTTTCCATTCTTCTTTCACCCGTCATAGAGAATGGGTGTGCAGGGCAGCTGGGCTACTCATATCCTCTGCAGGATGCTTGAGGCCCTCTCCTTAGAATCAATCATCTTTTTCTTTTCTTTTTTAAATCGAAAGCTTCTAGTAAATTAAGCCCAGTGGGGATTTAAAAGCAATTATTTGATAAACTAAAGCTTTCATAAGCAGAGATGCATACTAACACATAAGTGCACCACCTCTGCTGATGGCCAGGTCCAGCACAGTTGTACAGGGTGTCATGGAAAGAAACAGGTCACATTAGTAACTGACACATTAAAAAACTGCCCTATAACCACAAGTAGAACTTTGCTGCCCCAGCCTCGGGAAAGCAGTCCCGGTTGGCATAGGGCCCAAAAGCACAGAGGCAAGGCCAGCCCCACCCTATGCCCACCTGACAACACCCAGCTTCCCCACTCGGTCCAGCTGACAAGCAGCCCGACTTACATGGTGTACTGGTGAGAAAGGAAATCCTAAGTTGCAGCCCACCGACTGTTGGAGGCCTCAGGGGCGCTATTGCTGTGGCTCTAACCCAGGACAGTGCTTACGTGACAGGCTGAAACCCACGCGCGCGCGATTCTCAATCTAAGGAAGCAGAGGAGGAGCCTGCAGCCCTGCGTGAGACAAGCCCGGCCTTACCTGAGAGGGGGCCTTCACTGCCATTTTTGCCAACACTGACATTTCTGCTACAGAAACAGAAAGCATTTTCTGGTTTGGGACTCAGTGACACCCCAGAGAAGAGTCTCTCTTCTTAGCCTCTAAGCCAGGCCAGGTTCTGAGCTGCTCCTTAGTTCTCAGAAGCTCTTACTTATTTGTTTTTCCTTTTCCTAATCCATCTCCTCTTCCACTATATACTGCACTCCCACCCTCCCCTCCCAACCCCCAGAAAACAACCTTTAAAAACACCAAATGCTGCAGGAAACAAAAGGAATTGCTGTCACATGTGCCCCCTCCTTGCTGGATGCCATGGCACCATGCAGCTTCATGCCATGCGAATAACAAGCCCTCCAGAGAGCATTCTGCAATGTTGACAGAGCCCTGCTTGTCTTGGCAGTGAAGTCGGGAATATAATGAAACCTACAAACCTTCTCTCTCCTTGCTGCTGACTGGACTAGTTTTAGTCGCAAGGCTTCTGTGGTTAAAAAGACAGTGCCAGGCCCCCAACCCTCACTCCTCAGGCTCCCACCCCTTCCTTAAAGCATGGCACGTAAGACCTGAGGCTCCCTGAAACCTGACCAAGGTGAATCCTGCTGGGTGGACTTGGACTGACTCAGAGATACCATCCTCTCTGTTCTCAGATGTTTGCTGTGAAGTCACTAGGGAGTCGCCATCCTGAAGGCCACATTACCACTTGGGGCACAGCACTCAATTACCCATCAGCTCACTACATTCCCACTCCCTCCTGCTGGCAATACCTTGTTTTAAAACACTGAATGGCCCATGTGGGGCAGATGGCCACTGCCCAGTGTCTGGCATGTCCCCGAATGCAAACTCTCGAAAGGGCAGGGAGTCCAGGAAGGTAGAGTCGCTTCTGTCCTGCTCAAAGCCACCATGCTTCCCTTGTAGGAGGCAGAATTCTGTAAGGTAGGAGAAAAGGATATGCCAGGCATGGGGTCAGCCTGGGTTGTTGGCACATCTCGGACTCAGCTTTGCCTATGTCAGGTGGTCAGGGAGATATGTCTACCCTCTTCCCCACAAACCTGCTTCCTGCACACATTGTGCTGCTTGACCAGAACTCAGCACTTCCTGTAGTCACAGGAGAAAAGGCTTCTCTCAACACAAAGCCCTCTGGCATGTCCCCCCTCAGCAGGCAGAGAGCAATCTTTCAAACATCAGAAGTACTTCCTTGGACTGATTTTAACAAACCAACTCTAAGCAAACAGAGCTTACTTACCATGGATGAAACTGAAAATTTGAGTTTGATTGATAAATTTGATTTGACTAAGCTGATATATTAAAGCATTATTGACAATAAGTACCCAAGTGGTTATGTGATTATATCTTTAAAAAGAACTTTTCTTCATTAATTAATATACAGCAATAAAAAATGAACAACTGATCTCTGCAATTATATGAGTGAATTGCACAAACATGGTGAGAGAAGAAACCGGACAAAATATATTCTACATGTATGAAGGCAAAACTAGTCTTTTTTTTTAAAGCCTTATCTTTCAGAGATAAGAAATATTCATAGACAGAACAATATAATGCCTAGAATTTGTTCCAGAATCATTTGCGGGGGAAGGAGGGAGGTAGTGAAGTTACAGCTAAAATATAAAGCCCCAGTTAGTGAGGCTGCATGGTAGGCACATGGGGGTTTATTATATCATTATCTCTACTTTTGGACAAGTGTGAAGTTTTCCATAATAAAATTTTTAATGATAAAAAGAAATGCTTCCTTAAATACTTCCATATTTGAGAACCCAACTAAGGTGTCTTAAGTTGTAAGTAAAAATGTAACATTATGTACTTGCTAAACAAGAACAGTGAGTGAACTCATGAATTAGGGTTCTTTTTATGTTTCTATTTAATAATTTGTGTACTTAAGAACAGGCTATGGAATGAAAGTGTGGCTGAGCCTCGTACTTACATGACATACGGAAGGCATGGGTATTTTTTTTTATTTGCTTGAGGGCACTAATAAAGATAGACAGCTGTCTGAAGAGAAATGAAACAATCCTTCATTTACTCAACCACCCCACACTCACCAGGCGTCCAGGGGCCCCCCAGCTCACTCCACTCTTTGCACTGGGCACCGAGGTGGGTGAGTGCTCACCAGCCTCCAGGGAATGACTTCGTTCATCAAGGACGTGGGCCATGACCATTGACTAGAGTCCTGTGGGCCCCCACCTTGTGTTTTAGGAGCCTGTGCCACCAGCACGACTCTTGCCTTTACACAAGCACAGGCCCACTGCCAATTCCTTCATTCTTTTCAGTGTCAGGCACTGTGCTAGGAGCAGAGATAACAAGGACCACAAAGCAGGCCTTGACAGTAAGTGCGAGTGGGGCCATGGGTGAGGGGAGGAGGTGGCGGGTCACTGAAGCTGGAGTGGCAGGTGTTGGCAGGTGTGGAGAGGGAACTAAAAACGGTTTCTTGGATGAAGCAGTGTCTGAGTAGCCTCCTACAGGTTCGGTAGGAATTGGACACAGAGGCTGCGTGCTCCAAGCAGAGGAGCAGGCAGGGTGTTCGTGGGTCAGAGGGGAGCATTCCCAGGCGGCAGACTTTAAAATATGAGGAAGAGGGAGCCTCAGAACGGTGTTTGAGCAAGTGAGTGAAATGACCACATCTTTATTTTTAAATAACCACAGCAGGTGGAGCAGATTCAAGGAAGCAGAGGAGCCAAGTAAGAGTCCGGGCAGAGAGGCTGCCGGGCAGGTGGGCCTGGGGGCGTCCCCAGGCCCACAGAGTGGAAGCACGCGGTCACATCCACAGGGCTCCCTATTGCAAGTTCACGCTGAGGACAACGGTAAATGCCTGATTGTACAAAGCACAGGACTAAATTGCAAACCAATAAAATGATGTTTCTGATTGGCCATAAAAAGGGAGCTGTTGTTGAAGGAAGGGGTTGTGGCTAAGAGGACCCCTGGGCAAGGATGGCCGCACAGATGCTCCTGAAGGGCTGTGGAGGACACTGGCCTCTCAGAAGTTTCAGAGGGCATTCAGGATCCGTGTCAGATGTACTGCCACCCAGAAGAAGGGAGGAGAGACTAGACAGCCTCATACGAGCCCTTCCAGTCCCTGCAGGTCTACATGAAACCAGATCAGAACATTCTGTGGCAAGAGCCACAGAAAACACAGATGGGGGATTTTAAAAAAAGGAAAAAAAAAGCAGCAGAACTGGCTTAAAAACCAGGCAGTGAGTCACAGGGAAGGATGGTCTGACCCCGAGCTGCACAGGCACAGCATCGGGAGTGGCACTTGCGAGGCCAGTGTGGGAAGCGAGCCAGAAGGACCCCAGGATTCCCCAGGGCACCTCCTCTTAGCAGCACAGGAGTTTATTTTCAGAGATAGTGGAAGCCAAGATGAAAGGCTTGATATTGAAATACAGAGAGGAGAGCCACCCAGGTACAGAGGTTTCTTTCCATCCCCTTCTGAGCAAAGGCCCCCTGGGGGAGCAATGGGTGCCCCACCAAAGCTGCAGGCGGGGCAGCGTACTGCCACCTCCTCAGAGCAACAGGCTCTGAGGGCCCCATGGCTGGAAGCAGCAGCCCCAGACTGGCCCCCAGCCACCCAAGGGTGCTCAGAGCACCCATGAGCTGGCCTTAGGCACAAGGCACCTCGTCTGCGGATGCACATGGGTAGAAACAGCAGCCTGGGCTGGAATCACTTAAGCATGCATGGTAACATGGCTGAATGCAAACTGAACAAAAACTGGAGGAACAACTTAATCATCTTAATAACAGTTTGTTCTGTAGACAAGTCTTTCAAATAGAAATTAGAAAATAAAATCCTCAGGATGACACATTTGACCTATGGGCCTCAAGGATGCACATCAGAATTCTCAGTATTCCACATGTCCCTGACCCTCTAGACCAGCTTCCTAAAACCAGCACCTTCACTTTTGTCACCACCTGAAACACGCAGCTCCACATGTTCAATGAAAGGAGATGCAGTGACTGTCCCCAGGCCTCTGCTGTCTCCCTGGGCTCCATGCACCCATGAACTTGTCCAGTGTCACGTAAGGACTGGCAGCACTCTGAGCACCTCCAGCTTTAGCTGAATGGCTTGCCAGCTTGTGTGGGCCACGTGGGTGTGAAAGGCTGATGCCCGGCCGACTTCCTCTCCCTGTCCTGGTCCTCGCCAGGGCACTAGTGGGGAAGAGCAGGAGACAGCACGGGACACGGGACACTGGCCAGGTACAGTATGCACTCTTTCTAAAACCTTTTCATCATGGAGAATGTAAAACCACACAAGAATACGCAGGGCAGCATGGTGCACCTCCACGTGCCTGCCCACCAGCTGCAGGGACTGTTCTTCACCTCCTCCCCCCTGCGCTGCACACACACCTGCAGGGTATCTTTGAAGCAAATCACAAGCTACCATTTCATCTGTGAAGAATTCAGTATAAATCTCTAAAAAAAATAATATGGCTTTTTATAAACATAACCATATAACATTACCTAAAAAGGTTAATAACTTCTTATGCCACATGTACTCATGTCCCCAGTGTAAGATAAATTTTAGCCGAAATAAGCAGGCAAAGAGAGGCAACAAAGGGCCAGGTAATTTATTTAAATACCCCTGGGTGAGGTTCTGTGGCCTTCTTGTAACAGGCCAGAGAAGTCACACCCGCTTGAGGAGGTGGGGGGCTTATAAGGGATTAGGAGGGGGAGGAGTGGGCAAGCTATCTTAGGGGGAATGGAGAGGTATGATTGACTAAAGGTGACATAATAGTCAGCTAGAAACTTTTTTTCCTTCTAAGAGGGAGGAGGCTGACATCCGGGTCTTAGTTGGCACATCAGGATGGAATTCAGGGAGAGCTGTCCCCTTTCCATATATGGCACAGACTTTGGGGTCTGGTCTGTTCTCCCCCTATGGCATCTCTCTGTCCTGTTTGCATGTCCTTGTTTTTCCTTCCTCCAGCCTAACACCCAGGAGGCAGTTAGGGGCTCAACACAGCCTCTCCATGGAAAGCACACAAAGGAGGCCTGGGAACATCTAGGATTAGCGGATGTGAGCTCAGCTAATGCTCCTATTTTCTTCCAATGATGCAGCGCCCAGGGTCTCCCAGCTGTGGACCCACTGGGATCAGCAGAGCAAGATCAAATGCAGCATTTTGTGTTTCATACTGGGGAGGGGAGGTGATAAGAACATTAATAGCTAAGGTGGAGTGGTTAATCGAGCACTTCATACTCCCCCTGGAACGGAATCCTCACCGCATCCCTGTGGGGGAATGTCTTTCCCCTTCCAGAGACGGCAAGTGGAGGCTCAGGAGGACTCAATGCCTTCCCGAGAGCTGACAGGAGGCGGGGTTGCTAAGGGCAGAGCCCCCACCTCAGCCTGGGCCAGCTGTGCAGCCCCACACCCACAGCTGGGCAGCCCTCACCGGCGCCGGCCCGCAGAGCCCACTTACCTCCTGTTCTTGGGACACCCACAGACTCCTCTGATAGTTCTTCCCTCACAATCCCCAGAGTAGGGGGGGACCCACTGCAAGTGCATACCAGGGGATGAAGGGGTGCCCCTTAGCAATGGCTCCACCACCTCCTATGAACCCCCAAGGAGGCGGCACTCACCGAACTGGCCATCCAGCTTCACAAACAACTCGACGATGCTGCAGGCGATGGCAGTGGGGGCTGGGATCTCCAGCACCACGTTGCTGTCCTTGATGACGTTTCCATCCTCCTTGGCCGACACCTAAGGGGAAGAGCGCTCACTCCCACCTGCGCCCAGACTGGCCCGGGCTTCTTCTTGCCTCCCAGCTGAGGCAGCCTAGTGTTGGCCCACAAGTGCTCAGCAAATGCCCCTGGAACCGAGTGGAAAAGAGCCACCCACAGAGGTGAGAATTTGATACTTGCTGGCCTTGAGATGTGGTACACACATTCCAAAGTACACAGCCAGCCTGGTGCCACAAAAGCAAGATTACAGAGTTTGGGGTCCAGTTAGGTCTATAGCAATGAATAAAGATAATAAGACAAAAGAACTTCCCGTTTCCCTCATGGAGGATTAATGGACATAACTCTGAAATCCTAATGAAAAGCCTAGACAATATCAAAGCCTGACTGGGGAACCCTAGCCAGGAGCAAACACCCCCCAGCACGAGACTGCAGACTCCTGGGGGTGGCATGCTGGGCTGTTAAACAAGACCAGGGAGAGGCTGGAGGAAGGAGAAGCAAGGACGAGAGAAGGATGAGTGGGACAGGCCAAGCCATCAGAGCCCAAAGCTCTCTCCTTCAAACGCTGCTGCAGACAGGACCCCTTAACCATCATGTCCTGGGGAGAGGAAGGTGAGAATCTATCCATTGCCCAAACACTGGAGACCAGAGACTTTTTTTAGTGACTCTTCTGGTCAGAGTGTGATGACAAGCAGCCTTCTGACTGCCAGGCAGGCTCCAGGCCTTTGGTGGGGGTCACCAAGGGCACAAACCTTGGCGGGGCCAGCCACAGCCATCGGGCACCCCCCCATCACTGCTGGCCAGCCCGCCCGTCGCAGGAAAGGGCCAGCTCCAGATCTGGAGCCCCACCTCCTCCAGAGACAACTTCCCTGGATCCTCTAGCAAAGCTGAACTTTACCCCAAGTCTCTAAGAATAGAACATCAGGACCACGGTGAGCTGGAGGGAAACAGTTTGGGGCTGAGAGCCTCCTGTTCCACCTACTGTTAGTACTGGCCCAGGGCTCAGCTTGGTAAAACTGTCTATAATTTAATCCAGAAGCATCTGCATATAGAATATAGACACATGAACTGATGTTTATTTTCCCTAACTCAATCCACAGAGGATTTGAGGCAGCTCATCCCAGAGTAATCATCTCTGGCTCCGAGGGGGTCTAGGACCTGTTTGTGCATTGGCCTGGCCTGTGCTCATTTGATCCATTTTCTTTTGGTGACATGCCCGACCTGAGCGTGCATGGCGAATCCAGTGCCCTACTGCCCGGGCCTGGGTCTGCATTAGGAAGGGCCATGACCTAGGGAGGTACAGGGAGAGGCAGCCCTGAATTGCTCCTCCCGGGCTGCCGCAGACTGGGCGAAAGCCTGGAGCTGCCGCATCACTAGGACATTCCGTCTGAGAGCGGATCCGCCTCTGGGAAGGCAGCTCAGGATGTACAACCCGGGTCCAGCAGGGACAGAATGGGTTACCCAGACATTCAGCTACAAGAGTCAAGCAGCCTTCAGTATCTGAGCCAGCGTGAGTTGGATTTCCAGTGCCTCAGGGCAGAAGAGTCCCAACTCTGGAAAATGCCGCCCAGGGAGTCCCTGGCCGAGGCGCCTGTGGCCAGGATGGAGAGCAGCTATGTGGCCTTGGGCCCACACCTGCCCCTGCTGGGCACACACCTGCACCGTCTTGGTTTGGATCCCCACCGTGCCACCACACTTCTCCTCAATCTGGACGTGCTCAGATATCACACACTTCTGCGTCGTCACTATCTTCTGTGTCACGACACACAGGACCTCATTCCCTCTCTCCAGCACCTGCTGCAGCACAGGGCTTCTCAGGTTTATTTTTCTGAAAAAGGAAAATGGCTATGAGTGGCCTGGTGCCCCAGGGGAAGTTGCCGCAGTGAGAATTTCTCCTCTCGCACAGCTGGCAGCTGGGGAGTGAATAGGGACAGGCTTACCGTGCAAGGAGCAAGGAAGAAAGTGGACTGAATTAAAAAGTTTTATGTCATTTTACAGATGAGGAAACTGAGGCCAGTTAGGCATGGCCTGCCCAGGGTCACCAAGTAGACTTGGGGTGGCCACATGGCTCCTGTGGGGAATTTCAAGAACAAGCTACATTTCCATCTACAGGAAATGATTTTATGCTTAGAACTGATCAATGAAATAAGCTCTCTCTGCAGATTTCGTTCAACACTCTGAAGCCATGAAAAAGACAGGAAAGAACCAAATCAGTGTTGGTATTGGCAGGACAGCAGCTGTCGTGTGCATCCAGGCTTCTTAAACAGTCTAACGTTAGTCACCTTAAAAAGCTCAGCACCATCTCTAAGCACACTGCCTCCCCAGGGGGATGCACTCTTCAGGCTTCAGACAGCACCCCGGATGGAGTAACTGGAACGGTCCTGTTGCCATGTAAAAAACTGCCTGGGGGCAGAAACAACTGGTGTGCCTCCACAGATGAATAGATAGACAAAATGCAGCATGTATGTGCAATGCAGTATTAATCAACCCTAAAAAGGCATACTGCTCAGATGCACACTACAGGAACAAACCTGAAGACATCATGCTAAGTGAAGGACTACTATTGGATGATTCTACTTACATGAAATATCTAGACTAGGTAAGTTCACAGCAACAGAAAGTACAGTCAAGGTTACCAGGGGCTGGGAGAAGAGGGAATAAGTTCTTGCTTGATGGCTACAGAGCTTTGGTTTGAGGGTGAGGAAAACTAATAATGGATAGTGGTGATGGCTGCACACAGCAGTATGACTACTTAATTCAATGGAACTATACAGTTAAAAATGGTTAAAATGGCAAATTTTATATTGTAGATATTTTATCACAAAGAAAAAGAGATATGAAAATCTATTCCATCTCAGTAGTGGTCAAAGAAATGCAAATTATAATAATGTTTTATACATATTAAGTAATAAAAATAAATTGATGACACAATAAAGCTGCCCAGGAAGGCATGTAAAGCAGGGGCTTAAAACCCCACCCCACTGGGGTTCACATCCCAGCTCTGCTAGGCTGGGTGACCCTAAATCACGCCTCCTCCGCACCTGCTCTTGGGTGGCTGAGCTGACAGTAACAGTGCTGCCCTGTGGAGGAGCTGTAGGGCTGGATGCCATGACTTGCAGTGAGCCCAGAGGTGAGTGCCGTGCAAATGCTAACTGCGTCCAGCCACCATCCCATGTTCCTCTACTTAAGTCCCCCAAGCAAAGCCCCTGTGGGTGCACTTGATGGGAATTATGGGCCATTTAATTGGGTTGGAGATGCTTTTTCCCATCACTCATACCCTTAGAAGGCTTCAGTGGTACATGTTATCTCCATCCCCCACTCAGGCTGAGGTCGCCTGGTCTGGCCCCCACCCTGGCGGCCCCACCTTCCAGGTTTTTCTCTGTGCCTCAGACATGGCAGCTGTCTGCCCACCCCAAGGCTGAACACCATGTCCCCCTGACTCCCACATGTCTCTGACACTAGTCGCCTCCTCAGGGAAGCATGCTTTCCCTGCCCACCCTGTGTAAGGTGGCACCCCCATCACACTGTCACACCTAAGACCACTTCTCTGGGGCTCTGTCCCACGTGACACATTCCCAGCACATGTCTTGATTTGTCTGTTGCCCATCTCCTCCCTCTAGATTATAAATTCTATGCAAGTGGGGGCTGTGCTCATCTTGATTACTCCTTATCTCAGGACAGTGCTTAGCACAGACCAAGGGCTCAATACATACTTTCGGAATAAATGGATAAATAAAACTTGTGGGGTTTTTTCCTCTTTGTCCATTTGCCTTATTGAATGTGTAACAAATGTGTATGCATCTGTGTGTGAGAGAGAAAATACACAGAAGATGGAGTTAAGGGAGGGGTAGCAGCGTGCCTTAAGGAGTTAGATGTGGAAGTGAATCTGCCTGCAAGAGTGTGTTTGGGTCCCAGAGGCACAGACCTTGAATGATGAGAGCCGGCGTTCGCAGTCAGAATGTGTGTTTGAACCTGGCCTTTCTGACACTGCCCTTCCTCTACTCCTCCACCTTCCAGCAGATTCCTGAAAATAGGCTCCCTCAATTACAGTCCAGGTATCGGTTCATCCTCATTTGAACAAGACATCAGAAGCAGCAACTCCAGGCCTGCGACCCCAGGATTAAGGCAGAGGAGCGATTGAAGGGTGCCTGGAGGAGCCTGAAGTCACTCTGGCGCATTGGAAATCGTTGCACTGCTCTGTGCCTTGAACAGACCCATGACATGCTTGATGCTTAGCCAATGTTAAGTAGTTTGAAAAGAAAAAACTCAGCCCAGACCAGCCAGGACTCCACTGTTTAAAATGCCCACCTCCCTCCAGAACTCCCATGTCACCCCACCCCTAACAGAGGAGGAGGAGAAAAAAGTCAGTTGCAGGAATGTAACTTTCTCCTGCATCTGATGTCAGGCCAGGCCAGAGATGCCAGCTGGCCCAGCTGTGCACCTGCAATGTCTGGCTGCCCTCAGAGTGGCCTGGCTACCGTGGGGCAGGGCACAGAATCTCAGCCAGGGTCAGGGCCCGCATGACAGAAGAGTCTGGTGCTGGGAAGAGAGAGCAGTTCTCAGGCAGGCTGATCAGGGCAGGCACTTCCTGCCCATGCTGCTGGGTTGTTGCCTAGGACAGTGCTGCCACCTTTTGGAAACTGAATGCTCAGCAAGCCTACTCATCTTCAGTTAGGAGAAGAGACCAGGTGTAGACAGAGGGGCAGCCAGTTACCAAGGCAAATGGACTGTTCATGTCAGTCTGCAGAGCGATCTAAGGGAAGTCTTCCCCATCTCTTCTCCTGCTTAATACCGCCAGGCCCCGAGCAGTGCCAAGATCCAGAGCAGCTCAGGGGAGCCAGACTCTGGCTCTGGCTATATTTCAATGTAATTCATTTACAGTTATAATCCTACATATTTTATGTTTAAAGAGCTTTATGGGTTCCTTCAGACTGCTAAAAGGGTTCAAGGAAAACAAATGCTTAAAGCCCTAGGTTAGTGGTTTCCCAAGTGTGGAACAGAGAGGCTGAGGACAGTACCCTTTCACAAAGACCCCCTGGCCCCAGCAGGTGACTGACTGCTGCCTCCCTCCTCCAGGTGAGGGCACCCTCTGGCTGTGCCACAAATTTGACCTTCATCTCGAGTCAGCTCTTGTACTGCTATGTCCGCCTCTACATGTAAGTATCTTACCTGTCTAGTGAGACCTATGGCTGTGGGCTGGAGAGGATTACTTCCAGGTCCTCTGGGAATCTTTCTCAGAATATCTATGCCTGCCTGCCCTCCATGACTCCATCTCAAGGGCTGCAGCTATGTGCCCTTAGAAATCTCTTCTCCGGATTGTCCTAATTAGCTCCACCTCTCCTGGGCCTTACTAAGAACCACTGAACAACATGGACAGGATGTCTTTAGAAAGAGACAAACTATTAATGGTGGTTGTCTCTTGAATGGGGAACTAAATGGCTGGGGTATCAGGAATAGGAAATTTTTTACCTTTTCTCTTTTGACCTTCTGACATTTAAACCATGTGAACATATTAATTATTTAAAAATTTTTTTTATTAAAAATACCTTTGGACTATCAGCTTGTAGAGGACAGAGTACCCTGCTCCTGTTATTGGTGCCTAGGTCTATGCTATCCACCCAAATGGTGGATAAATGAATAACTTATCACATAAATCCTAAAGAGCAAAGTTGGAATAAAACTCTCTCTCCTACTGAGACTGAATCATGAAGAAATTGGAAACCTGAACACAAGGATTACTAGTAAGGACACTGAATCAGTAATCAAAAACCTCCCAACTAAACAAAAGTACAGAACCAGATGGTCTTAGTAGTGAATTCTACCAAATATTCAAAGAGTTACCCAATCCTTGAACTCTTCCAAAAAATGGAAGAGGGAATGCTTCCAAACTCCTTTCACCAGGCCAGCATTACCCTGACACCCAAACCCGACAAGGATGACACAAAATTATAGGACAACATCCCTGATGAAGATAGATGCAACAAAATATTAGCAAACTGAATACAATAAAACATCAAATATTCTGTGCCTGGTTTATAGAATCATACATCCCATGATAAAATGGGATGCAAGGGTGGTTCAACATCCACAAATCAGTGTGGTACACATTAACAAAATAATGTGTACCATTTAACAAAACAATGGATAAAAAATCTTATGATCATCTCAATAGATGCAAAAAAGCACTTGACAAAATCCAGTATCCACTTATGAGAAAAATTCTCAACAAAGAAGGAATGTACTTCAACATAATAAAGACCATTATATGACATTATACTGAACAGTGAGAAATTCTGAGAGTTTTTCCTCTAACATCAGGAACAAGACAAGTATGCCCACTCTTGCCACTTTTGTTCAACATAGTGATGGAAGTCCTAGCCAGAGCAACTAGGCAAGAAATAAAGGGAATCCAAATCAGAAACAAAGATGTAAAACATCACTATTTGAACATGGCATGATATTATATATAGGAGACCCTAAACACAACACCCAAAAAAACTGTTAAACAAATTCAGGAAACAGGATAAAAAATCAATACACAAAAATGTGTTGCGTTTCTATACACTAATAACAAACAGAAAGAGAAACTAAGAAAACAATCCCATTTAAAATTGTATCAGAAAGAATAAAATAGGAATAAATTTAACCAAGATGGTAAAAGGCCTATACACTGAAAACTATAAGAAACTGATGAAAAAAATTGAAGAAGACACAAATAAATGGAAAGGCATCCCATGCTCATGGATTGGAGGAATTAATATTATTAAATAACCATACAACCCAAAGCAAGCTACAGATTCCCTATCAAAGTTCCAGCAGCATTATTCA